GGATGAGCTCCCGCAGCGAGCGCCTCACAGGGATGGTCTCCAGCTCTCCCTCTTCCACCTCCATGGGCTCGGGCTCGGCGCCGCGCGGCTCCGCCGTGGTCGTGCTCGCCTCCGCCTTCACCGAGATCCGCAGGCCCCGCACGGCCGCCATGGCTCCGCCAGGCCCGCCCAGCGCGGCCAGCGAGACGAGCGCGGGGCGGCACAGAGCGGCGGGGCGGCTCCGAGCGCCGAGAGCGGCCGGGAGCGCCGGGCGGGCGGAGCGCGGCGGCCCCGAGCGCCGCCCGCAGCACGGCCCGGCCCGCCCGGGGCACCCCCGAGACCGAACGGACCCTGCGAGCCAGCGGAACCCCTGAGCCCGGTGCGCCCCGAGTCCAACGCACCCCCGAGCCCCAGCAGAGCCCGAGCCCGGTGCCCCCCTAAGCCCAACGCACCCTGAGACCCAGCGCGCCCCGAGTCCAACGCACCCCGAGCCCCTGCGGACCCCCCGAGCCCGGTGCACCCCTAAGCCCAACGCACCCCGAGCCCCTGCGGACCCCCCGAGCCCGGTGCACCCCCGGAGCCGAACACCCCCAGCCAGGGCCAGGGCCCAGGGGCTCAGGGTGGAACGGCCGCAGAGAGCGCGGCCCCGCAGTGTCCCTGGCGCCGGACAGCGGACAAACACAGAATTTAAGTATTTTCCTCAAAAAAGGGGGTTTTTTAAACTATCTGAACTCAATTTCAGTTCCACTCAATTTTCCCGTCCATGCTAGCAGAATGTTACACCTGTGAAAAAATCAAACTAATTCTCAGCTTGCAGTTGCGTCCCATTGTTCTGAGGCTCAGTTATTTTCTTTGTCCCCTTGTCCCAAGGTGTTCAGGTTGTTCCAGGAGAGCAGCCTTGCCTCTTCTTGGCCTAAATAAACCACATGCTTTCACCAGTCCCCGTGAGACAAGTTCTTCATTCCCCTAATGACACTAATCAGCTCCATTCCTCACACACAGCAGACCAGAGCCCTATTCCAGCTGAGGAGTTGCTCCTGCCTTGGCATCAGTATTTCACACAACTGCCAGGATACACAGCCACATCCCATTGTCATTTGTGTGTTATCACCACACCACTAAGAATTCCTGTTACCTCTCCAGCTGCAGGACCCTCCCTTCCAGCTCAGGCTGCTCCTCCCCTCATTTCTGCAGGTTACAAATAAACCCCTCCAGTCCATTCCCTGTGACATGTCACTTTCCCTCTGAACTGATGGCACCTCCCAGGAAAATTCAGATTTAGACTCTGTCACGAAGACATTTCCCAGCTGGCAGCATAAAGGCTGCTCCCCTTACACAAAATCCAGCAGGATCAAGAGATCCTTCCACCCATCACTCACTCCAAGATTATTTATTCTCAAGGCTTCAGGCAGAGCTCCTTACACAATGGCTGGTGTCACTGTTCACCAAAAGTGCTGCATTTGGGGCTGACATCTCACAGCAGCACCTGGCAGGAACTGCTGGCACAGGTGACACTTCCAAGCCAGGTGTGAAGCCAGGCTCCAGGCCACAGGAGGTGAAGAAAAGGAATAAACAGGACACAGGCACCTCCTGTGAGCAGCTGAGCCTGAGCAAGAGGAAACATTTCTGTGGGATAAATGCTGTTTCTTCAGGTCACAGGGAAACCAAGAGATGGAACTTCTCCTCCTTTAGTTTTAGTTTTGTAAGTAGGACACGGTATTGCCATGTGATCTAGACCAGCTTGACAAAGCCAAATCCTTCAAGGAGCAGCTGGGACAGGGTTATGTGACACCAGGTCACCTTGCACTGCTGTCAGCAGAGTGCAGATGAACCTTGGGCTGACCCAGGTGTTTCCTGATTTTGTTTCTACATCCCTTGGATGTCACCCCAGGCAGAACATTGCTGTACTCCAGCCCTCCATACTTGGCACCTTTTCAAGATTCACTCATTGCACTCAGCAAGAAACTTTCAGCTGATTGACTGTGGCTTTGGACACATTGCCAAAATTTTAGAGCTCCTTAGGAAAAAACAATCACCAGCCAACTGGTAGGGACAATAAAATCAGGAGAGGGAAACTAAACCTGAGCACCAGTGGGACTTTTTACTGCTAGGTGAGTGAATAGAATGTCTTCATAATATTTTGTTATTCCTTTCAGGATCTTGTAATTAACAGTGAATTCTTCAGCATTTCAAGCTGATTTAGTTTTATTCTTCTGAGACTGTGGCCCAGAGCTTTGTTTTTCTTTCACATTCCTGCAATCCTTCTGCCTGTGAAAGATCACCTGAATTCTTAAAATTCATGTTAATTATTTTCAATTTTGTAGGAAGCAGAAGGGCCCTGCCTTGTTGTAGCCTTTGTGCAGGGATGGGGCAAGGGTAATAAACTCCTGAGGGATGCAGTGTTAAAATAGAGGAGGAAAAAGAAATTTGGGAAAGGCTGCCAGTCATTATCAGAAATGCTAAGTAAGGAAAGGCTTTTACAAATAATGAAGGTGAGAAAGTGACTGTAGCAGAGAAGCTGTGGTAACCTGGAAGTGATCAAGGCCAGGTTGGATGGAGCTCTGCCCTAATGGAGGTGTCCCTGTCCATGGCTCGGGGTCGGACCTGGATGATCTGCGAGGTCCCTTCTAACCCAAACTATTCCAAGATCCTATGAAATCATTCCAGCCTAAAAACACCCACGGGAGCGATTTAGGGCAGGAGCGTCATTGGTTTCCCGGCTTTGACCACCAGAGAGAGCTCATACAACAGAATTCCCAACGTGAGTGAAAACCAAAACCAAAACCTGATGGAAAACACCAATTCCCGCAGTTTTGGGATCGGCTGAAAACGGGAGATGGGGACCAGGGAGGGAGGGGAAAAAAAACAACAGTCTGCAAAAAAAAAAAGAGACTTTTTTGCAGTGGTCTGGTAGGAGTCAGAAAAATGGTGAATTTTGCCCTAATAAAGTATTGGTTGATTTGTTTGTTTGTGGTCTGTGAACACTGAGCAGAAAGGACACGTGTTCCTGAGGATATGATTTAACTCTCCTGCCGTCCTGGGCTCTCAGCAATCATCTACAGCATTTCAAACCTGTGAAAAACCCATGGAAGTGTGTGTGCTATCCCTGCAGCTGGCCAGCACACCCCACACATCACCAGGGAAACTGGGACTGCCTTCCAAATGGATCAGGGCTCCTCCTAGCTCCAGTCCATCTGGAGAGAGAACAGCATCAGCAGAGGAAGGATGTTTATTTGTGAGGCTGAAACAAGCACCTGGTGTTTTCTTATGGATTTGATGAACCACAGGCTCCCCACCTGTAAGATAGAATATTTTCTCAGTGGGATATTGTGGAGGTTAGTACAGCCCTGGTAACCTGACACAATGCCAGAGTCCCATCCAGGACACAGCTACAGAGCCCTAAAAGAAGCAGGGTTTTGGATGCAGGGAGGAGCACAGCACCCTCACAGTCAGGGACAGTTGTGCTCTAACATTGTTTATGCAAGTGCTGCCAAAGGGAGACCACACAGTTGAAAAAACACATTCCTTTCTGGAAAAAAGCTCACAGAACTGAGCAGAGCTGGAGCAGGATTCTACACACATTGACAGATACTACTCTGGCATTTAAGAGATCTTGGAGAACAGTCTAAAAGTGGTAAATATTGCTTTGTTTTCACAAATATAACTCTTAATTTGTGCATGCCCACACACACATGGTTCCTCTGTGACACCAGTGAAACTTAAGCTCTTTGCTGTTGCAGACCTCTGTGGTACTGCAGTCAGTGAACTACAAAACTTATTCTTTCACAGGGCTATTTTTAATGCAGAACAGCTCATTGGCCCAATTCAGTGTGCACTCCCATGAAAAGCAGCTGTGCTGGCACAGCCATGGGGTGGGAATATGTGGCTGGCAGGATGAGGAGAGAAGCTGCTGGCACAGCCCTGAAGGAAAACACAGTGAGCTGCAGCCTTCAATGTCTAGATGAAAATATACACAATATACTGAGCTAGAGGGACCCACAAGGATCATCTATTCCAACTCCTGGCCCTGCACAAACATCCCAACAATCCCAGAGCATCCCTAGCAGTGTTGTTCAAACATTCCTGGAGCTCTGGCAGCCTCGGGGCCGGGACCATTTCTTGGGGAGCCTGGGCAAGTGCCCAGCACCCTCTGGGAAAGAACTTTTTCCTAAAATCCAACCTGCCCTGGCACAGCTCCTGCTGTTCCCTCAGGTCCTGTCCCTGGTCACAGAGCAGAGGTTGGTGCTGTCCCTCAGAAGGATGTTGAAGACAATGAGGTCTGACCTCAGTCTCCTCTTCTCCCAGCTGAACAAACCAAGTGTCCCCTGTCCATTCTCATGAGGCTTTCTCTCCAGACCCTTCCCCATCTTTGTAGGCAAGGAACAGTGTGGCAGCAGGGCCAGGGAAGAGATTGTCCCCCTGTGCTGGGCATTTGTAAGGCCACATTCGAGCGCTGTGTCCCCTCAGTTCAGGAAGGGCATTGAGGGGCTGGAGCGTGACCAGAGAAGGGAACAGAGCTGGAGCACCAGGAGAGGCTGAGGGAGCCAGGAGAGCTGAGCCTAGAGAAAAGGAGGAGGAACCTTCTGGCTCTCCACAACTGCTGGAAAGGAGGCTGGAGCCAGGTGGGGGTCGGGCTCTGCTCCCAAGGAACAAGACGAGGGGAAACGGCCTCAAGCCGTATCAGGGGAGGTTAAGGCTGGGTATCAGGAGGAACTTCTTCCCAGAGAAGGTCAGCAGACATTGGAAAGGCTGCCCAGGGATGTGGCGGAGTCACCGCGCTTGGAGGTGTTCAAGAAACGACCGGACGTGGCACTCCGGTCTAGTTAGGAAGGCGGTGTCCGGTCCCGGGCCGGACTCGCTGATTGCAGCGGTGTTCCCAGCCCCATCGATGCCGGGATTGCCGGGATTCACCGACCGCTCCCGCCTCCCCCTCCCAGCCGCCCTCACACCGACCCCACCCGCGCGGGGAGATGACGTCACGGCTCCCCGCGTGCGGTCACGTCCGGTAGGTGAGGTCAGGGCCGGGGCCGCCATTTTGAGCGGCTCCGCGGGCGGCGGCGGCCGCGGGCGGGGGAGGAGCGCGGCCCCCATGGCCGGGCAGTTCGACTCCGAGGACCGGGCGAGCTGGTACTGGGGCCGGCTGAGCCGCGTCGAGGCCGTCTCGCTGCTACAGGGGCAGCGCCACGGCACCTTCCTGGTGCGCGACTCGAGCACCATCCCCGGCGACTTCGTGCTGTCGGTGTCCGAGAGCTCCCGCGTCTCGCACTACATCGTCAACAGCCTGGGGCCGGCGGGAGCCCGGCGGTCCGGCGGCGAGGGCCCCGGGGCCCCGGGTGAGTGACCCCCAGGGCCGGCGGTGCCCGCAGCCCCGCGCAGGGCAGCCGGGGCGGCTCCGCTGGGCGCCCGGGCGGTGTTCGCAGGCTGGAGCGCTTTGTGGTGGAGTTAAGCCGCGTTCGGAGCTGGGGCCGCTGCCCGAGCAGAGCCGACTGTCCGCATCTGCCGTCTTGTGCCATATGAAATTCAGCGTCCTGGAGCTGGGCATCCCGCGGCTCCAGCCTTGCACCTCTTTGTTTTCCTGACCCCCTTAGCGATAATTCATAGATTTTCCGTGTCATCTCAGCCGGGAGGTGGTTCTGTGGAAGTGTCATCCCCAAAATCTGACTTCTGACAAGGCAGTTTTGCGGTATCAGGGAGGCTGAGTTCGAGTTTGAGTGGTGGGAACTCCTCAGGATGTAAAGGCAGTGGTTTCTTGAAATCAGATGTGAAGTTCAGTTTCTTTCCCCTTGAAAGGAGAAGTTTGAAATTATTTCTCATCAGCTGAACATATAATAATGAAAACAACATGCTGAAGTGTATCACTGCCGATTGTGCCAGAGGGAGAAGCAGAATTTTTGCTGTTTAGTCCAAGTAAACCCCAGCAGTGCAGAACCCGTGGATGTGTCAGAACGTGCAGTCCAAAGGCACTGGTGTCCCTCCTGTGGGAATTGGGGAAGCTGGTGCTGGAACTGCTCGAGTTTGGATATTAATCCTTGCAAAATGATTTGGATGTGTGATTGGCATCTCTGCAAGGAGCCACTAGATCATTTTCAATTATAGTAAACCTGTGTAATAAAATATTTGGTGAACTTGTTTGGCAGAAAGTAGATAGAGACACTCTCGTGCAGGTCTGTGGGTGGAATAGGAGACCAGTTGTGGAAAGATGTAACAAGACTTGTTTTATTTTTCAGTCTCTGCACAGAGTGTTTGACTGAGGAGATAATCTGAGAGAAAACAAGATTAGTGCCAGTAGGCTTGCACTGTCACACAGGGGAAGCATTTCAGATTGGAAAATTGGGGAAAGTCTAAACTCATCCTGTTTATGCCAGGAACCTCCTGGAGCTGCACAGTGCACTCAGGTTACAGAGCTCCACAGGTAGAAGTTAAAGGTGGCTGAATTCAGCTGGAAGTGGGATTTATTGCTGCTGTGGGGGTCACAATGGGGTGGGCTCCTGTTGCTCCGTGTGTGCTGCTGTAATTGCTGACAAGGATGGCTGGTGTTGTGTAGAGCAGAGTCAGTCACCAGGATGCTTTGTTGTGAATCCAACCTCATTGGATTTTAAAGACAGTAAAAAACACTGGGTCATGAGTGCCTGTCACTTCTGGGCAGTTGCTTTTTGGGGAGCAACTCATCTCTGGAAAAACAGTGGCATCACTTCAGTACAGCCATCCTGACTTTTTTCTTGTGTTCATCCTAAGCTCAGTGACATTTTGTGGCGTTCTGTGGGCTGGCTTTGGTTAAAATCATGAAGTACCTTGTAATTCTCTTCTTTTTTAAAAGAGTAGCTGTGTAAGCTGGTGCCACAGTAGGCTTAATATATCTGGAAAAGTATAATTATGTTTTGGTTGGTCTCCTTTTTATTTGTCCCCTGGAGGTTCTGGGGAGGGGTGATGCATCTCCTGCACTACAGACACTCCCACGCTGATTTCAGTAATTTTAATTAAATCATGCCTCCATGCTGATACTGCTGTCTTCACACTCCAACCAAAGAAGGTGCTGGGGAGGTGTATATTGAATTATACTCCAAGTGTAATTAAGGTGCTCTTCCAGAAGAAAATAAGTGGGAGGTTGTTCTGCAGTGCAAGGGAGGTGAAAACAGCAGAAGATTGAAGATGATTCCGTGTTTGGGTAGGGAAGCTAATGCAGTGAAAAGAGTTAAATGTTTGCAAATGTCCTTCTTGTTTACTGTGGCCAAGTTAAAACACTAGGAAAAACAAAATTGCTATATTTTAGTACGGTATAAATTTTTTAGCATTTGATTGTTTGGCAAATGCACAGGTCTCTCTGGGAAATTTGAATACTCCAGGTTGGGTTCTTGGGTTGATTTGTGTTGGGCTCAGGGTCTGTGAAATTCCTGGCTGCTCTCAGGGACAGGGAAGCCTCAGCACAGAATGAATGAGATGAGGAGCTCTGGCTTCCCTAAAAACCACAATATCACAAAAACATGATACCTTCTTTGATTTCTGAAGTAGAAAGTGAAGTTGCAAACTCTTTGTTAAATTGACCTTTTGACTGATGCTGCAGTTTCTAACTTCTTGCAGGTGATTTTTCAACATAACAAAGAAAAAATAATTGAACAGAATTTTTTATGTCTTCCTGGAATGTTTTAAGGAATGTTTTAAAAATAGGATAAATCACTGAATTATGGGAAAGAAAAACATTCTCTGTTTTCAGTGGAAATGGATAATTTGTGATGAAGTATCACAGTAATGGCTAAAGAAATCCCAAAGAAGACAAAGTGCTCCATGCAGGCATTAGCATGATGATGGACAGCAGAGAAAATATTAAATATATCATGTATTTATGATGTGACATGGGGGCTTGGGGTAAAAATGTGTGATGTGCACTAAAAAATGCCTGAAATACCTAAAGTTAGAAATGCTCTCTGTTGAGAGTGCAGGATTACAAAGATAGAAGCCTTAATGTTATTAAATTGTCTGTCTGAAGTAGACAAATAGAACTGCTAAAATGCAGAAATGGATGTTTTTCACAGTTAGGAGTTTTAAGAATATGATTGTGAATTGAATTTTTCTAAATCCCCTCCATTGTGACTGAACTTCCTGGAATCACAGAGTCCTTACAGAATGATACCCACACCTAACCCTGGCTGAAGTGGCTTTAGGCATGTGTGAGCAGAGTGGTTTAACTCTGATGCTTGGGTTTTGCTTTTATTTTCATTTTTATATTGGGATAAAAATATATTTAAATGCAAACTAGTTGTAACTTTAGAAAGTGCCTGTATTAGACATCTGCTGTTATCCTGTGATCTGTAAATGATGACTGCAGTGATCAGAAATGAGTGTAACTCCTCAGTGAATCTTTTCCTGGTGTGCTCAGAGCTCTTCCACTCAATAGAGTTTTATGTTTTTATAGGGTGTTCCTGGGGTTTGTTTGTTCTGCTCAGCATGAGTAGGAAGGTACTTGAGAAGAAGGAAAAAAGGTGTCCCTGTGGGGGTGGGGGAAGCACAAGGGCTGGAATGTGGTGCCTTCAGAGCCCAGTTCCCATCTGCTCCAGGAGGAAGTGGTTTACATCATTGGGTGTCTTACTGCTGATAAGAGCAGCTTTTCTGGCCCTAAACACACTCTGAATTGGAAAGGGAGCCACCCTTACAGAATAAAACTAGATGTAAAAATAAAGACCTGTATTTCCGTGAAGGGAGAGTTTCCAAAGCTTGGGAATAAAGAGAAAACTCCCTATTGCCACTAACAATTGGAGTGAAGGAAGAAATGCAAACCCCCTGAGGTGTCTGAGAAGGTGAGAAGTGTCTCTGTGCTTTCACCACCTGCCCAAGCAGCAGAATATTGGGTGGTTTACAGCCCAGATCCCCAGGATCTGGACAATATTTAAAGCACACACCAGCACTTTTCCCCAGACTGACACAAAGGCAGCTCAGTGTCAGAGGGTTGTGACAGGAGGGAATGTGCATCATAAACAGAGAACTGATATAAGCCAGGTTTGAGACTTTCTTCAGTTGTGGGACCCTTTGGATTTTAACTCTTTCCTCACCTTTTGTGGCATCCTGAGATGGTGGAGTTATGTTAGTAAGATGGAGTAAGGAAGAAAGAGGATATTCAGCCCTTTGTGCTTCTCATTCAAAAAGTTCATCTTGCTCAGCTGAGCAGTGCTGGTGGTGGAGGTACTCCCTGAGCAACTCTTGTTCAGCTGGGCCAGGCTGCAGAAAGAGAATTTCCAGTACTCCAGTGTCCCAGCTTTCACAGGCAGTGACAAGGGACTCACCTGTCCATGCTCGTGCTCTCCTGGGAGCCCTCAGAAGATGTGCACACTCTGCTGCTCAGGCTTGTGCCTTCCAGGGGAATCCCAGGAGTATGAAGGAAAACTGCTCTTATTCCCAAAAAACCCCACTCACTTTGTTGCTGTAACTTTTTCTTGTGTTAGATCTTGCCTGAATTATTCCATTGGCCTGCAGGTATGAGCAGTGTCACAGTTCAAACCAGAGGCTGAAGAATTCCTCTGAAATCTGTTCATCTGTGAATTTCATTATACCAGGGAATGACAAAAGTCCAGAGCCTGTAGGGACTGGAATCATTTCCCCACTGCATGTGAACATCACTTGGGTCATTGTTGCTGAAGAAGATCCACAAAAGATTTAAACTGATGGAAGATTTTCCCCTTGCTTGGGAAGGTGGAGTTGTATTTTATTTCCAATCTGCATTTTACCACCTGTGACTTTGAACTGTGTTGACCTTTTAATGCCTGTTTTAGCTAAATTTTAGGAGTCTTCTATTTAAGTTCTCCAGATGATTATGAGATTGCTGCCTTTATATTAATTGATGATTGATTTAGATTAAGTTTATAGATTTCTTGTTCTAGATCTTCTGTAGCTGCCTTACATTTTTTAAAAGAAAAGCATCAGAAGTGCACGTGGTTTTCTGGCAGTGTGCTCTTTGGGAGGGTGACATCTCTGCTTTCTGATGCTTTTCTCTCTGTCCCTTCAAGGAGTGCATTGATCTTTCTGATCCCAGAGTTTGGAGGGACTGTGTCCTCTGGCTGTTGTTCAGCTGTGCAAAACACCTCTTAGGATCTGATTTTCCAGGATTCAGTCCAGTGATTTCTGTCACTCCTTCTCTGTACATAATGTTCCAGAGGACTTTTCTTCTTAAAGTCCAACTTGTATTCAGGTACACTTGGCAGGTCCCTCAGGCTGTTGTGCATTAATTCAAGAGGTTGAACCTGTTCCAAAATTTAAAAAAAAAGACACTCCAAAATGCCTTGTTCATGCTGGTGAAGATTGAAGATTGACCAGGCTGATGAATGTTACTGATGAACTGCTCATTTCCTGTGACCTGGGAAGATTTTTAAGTGAATCCCACATTGCTGACAGAGCTCAGCCCCCTGGCTGAGTCAGCTTGTAGCAGGTTTCACTGAGGTAAATTGGTGTTTCAGGATCTCTGTTTCTGTCATGTGAAATAAGTTCCATGTCACTGAACTTCCCTGAGACTCAGTCTTCTCCATATGGGTTGCAAAGAGCTTTGCTGCTCTGCTCCTAAAGTTCCCATAACTTTTTCTTTTTGCTCAGATGTCAAGTTTTGATCCTTAAAGCTAAAGGTAAAATAGTGCTGGATATTTGTGCATGTTTCTGTCACCAGGTTGGTCTGAGACCTGATGTGTCCCCACTTCTCCCTCTAGTGAAGTGCAGCATTCCCAGATTCTGTTTTCCACTGAGCTGTTCTGAAGTGGTGCAGGCATTGCTGCCTGTCCAGCCACAATTCCTGTCCTGTGAGCCCACAGAGCTGACAGTGCCACTGGGATGGAATTCCAGGGTTCTGGCCAAGTCTAGAGCTCTAAGTTGCATCTCAGCAACAAAAGTTGAGGGGGTTTTGCATCCTCTCAGCACTACACTGTGGGAGAATATGATGGATTCTTAATTCTCTTCCCATGCTGGGCTCACTTTTCTCACTGATAATTACATTAACTTCCTTTATCTCTGGTGATGCCAGTTTGAGGGGTTTTTTTTGCAGTTTTTCAAGGCTATTGCTTTTGGATTTTGGCTCACTGTGTTTGTATTCATTTCTTTAGAGAGCCTTTCAGAGCTGTTAAAGCATGCAGACATGCTTTTTCCAATGACTTAGTTCTGCTCCTTCGAATTTCCTTGAAGCAGCTCCACTAATGCTCCTGTTCCTTCAGGATCCTTCAGAACTCATTTCTCGGGTGTTGCTCTTATTGAATCTGCCCTTTTCTCTGTTAGAACCCCTTTCTGCTCTCCTGAAAGAACTTGTTGTAACATTGGCTTTCCGTGCTGACAGTGCTACTTTGCAGGGAGTTTTGGATCAGTGACAGCTTGAAAGATTCTGCTAGCTTTGTACTCCAGAGCTAAGGCTTGGGACTGTTAGATATTCCCTGCAGAGAAAACAGACTTGCAAAGTAAGCATCTCTCTCTTGCTAAAAGAGTTACTCATTAAAGTATAAATCTTGTCATCTGCACTCCCTTCCCCCAGCCTTCCCCAGTTCTTCCCATAACTGATGGCATGGGGCATGGTGGAAATAGAACATCATCTGTGTGTTTTTCCCTAGCTGAGCCTGAAGAACATAAAATGGAAAAAAAGCACAGCACACAGATTGGAAATGGATATTCTGCAGTTGTAGTGATGCTTGTAATGGCTTGGATGTGAACATCATCTGTATTCCAATGTATTTGAGGTTTGGATTTCTACCTTAGGCTCCATCTGACAAACATGGCAAAGAAGCTACAAGACTTGAGATTAAAAGGCTGAGTCATACCTATTATGAAAATATAGGTTGTTGCTTTACATTGCATAGAATGGAGATAATTTTCTTTACTGGTACCTTTTATCAAAATGAAAAATAACTTTATTTGCTCATTGACATCAGTTGTTTGCTGCCGTGCAAAGCAGTTTTCTGTAGTGTCCATGCCTTTAACTCAAGGTGTTACAACAGGTAAATAAGCATTGTTGCAGTGTTGTTCTTTGGAAATAGATCTGAACAGCAGAAGACAGTTAAAAAAAATAATTTTCTTGAAATGGTACCAAAATTTACTTCCTATATTTAGAGTATAAAACAGGAGAATTGTACAGGCTCCTGAGAAACCCTGATGTATTGAGCATTTTCATCTGTTGGGTCCATATAATACTGATAATACTGAAAGAAACAAAGATATTTTTATCATAATTCGGGAAGTTTGGTGGTGCCAAAGAATTTCTCTTTTCCTTCCTTGACAAAATCTTTTTAAAAAAACCTGTACTCATGATCATGATAGTGCTGCCTTTGATTGAAAATACTCAGAAAAGCTGAATATGATGTCAAGGTGATCCAATTCGGTGTTGAAATACTTCTGTTTAAATATATTTGTCTTCTCAAAGGTTTGATTTGTAGTTTTAATGCTCTCCTTGACATGTTGCCTTCTCTTTTCAGGGTCGAATCCCACCAGATTTCGAATAGGTGACCAAGAGTTTGATTCTTTGCCATCTTTACTGGAATTCTACAAAATTCACTATTTGGACACTACAACCTTGATAGAACCCGTTTCGCGCTCGAGGCAGAACAGCGGGGTCATCCTCAGGCAGGAGGAGGCCGAGTACGTGCGAGCCCTCTTTGACTTTAATGGCAATGATGAGGAAGACCTCCCCTTTAAGAAAGGAGACATCCTGAGAATCCGGGATAAGCCTGAAGAGCAGTGGTGGAACGCAGAAGACAGCGAAGGGAAGAGGGGAATGATTCCCGTTCCTTACGTCGAGAAGTATAGACCTTCCTCTGCTTCAGTCCCCACTCTGATTGGAGGTAACCAGGATAGTTCCCACCCACAACCACTGGGTGGGCCGGAGCCAGGGCCCTATGCCCAGCCCAGCATCAACACTCCGCTCCCTAACCTCCAGAATGGCCCTATTTATGCCCGGGTTATCCAGAAGCGAGTCCCTAATGCCTACGACAAGACAGCCTTGGCTTTGGAGGTACATAATGGGCAAAATTTAGAAGGAAGAGATCTGTTCAAGGGATTTCCCTTTCGCTCACGTGCTAGTTTTGGAGGAATGAGAAAGGGAAAAGCTTTGTCGTGCTGGTTTTATGTCGTCATTAATGAGTTATGGATCAAACGAGTGACTCGAGTCACTTGTAAATTAAATTATTGTTGATTATTTTTAGGTTACTGAACCAGTATCGTGTCTGTTGTCAACCATCACTAACATAAGTGTTTCCCCATCCATGTTTTCAGTTCTGAAATGTTTATTTTGGGGGGAGGGAGAGGGAGCAGCTCATAAATGGTGTGTCTGAACCTGTGTTTGCTGTTGTGTGCTCCCCACAATGTGTACAAGGTGTGCTGGGTTGTTTGTTGGTTTGTGTTGTGTTGGGTATTTTTTTCTCCCCAATGTGTCAGCAGTTTTAAAGCAATCAGTAGAAACATTGGTACACTTTGAAATTACCTGGACTGAGATGGTGATCACACATAAAATTTAATTGTAACATCACCTCAAGCAGATTACTTTGGGTTTAGGTTTGAGGCAGGAGCATTTTACAGTTCACACCACAGTTTGTTAGTCTGGTATAAAGCAGTGATTGATGGAGCAGGGTTTGTAGTAAAGCACTGAGGTTTCCCCAGGTTGATTCACTTCCTGACAGGATCAAGTCATTGCACAGGCCCTTTTTGATTTCTCCTTTTTCCTCTTAAAAAGGTGTCTGGAGTGCTCTATCTCTCCACATCAGATAGTTCTCCCCCAAGTTACCCTTGAGGAAATTGAGACTAAGGTATTCCCTGTGGCAGACCTTTGCCTTGGGATATGTAAATTGTATCCTTTAATCTAGGCTTTCTTTGAGCTAGAGGCTCTGGAATTTCCTGATACCTAATTGACTTCCTGTTTATATAACATTTTAAGTACTTGGGAAAAAGCAGTTTCTGTGCTGAGTCAGAGCATCTCCTCTGCACTCTCAAATGCTTTGTGTAATTGTGCATAGCACAGGGGGCACTCCAGGACTTGAGGGATCTGGCAGCTGTGGGTGTGTGTCTGGTGCTGCACATGGGTAACTGATGTGCAGCTGGCAGATGTGAAATCTCTCCCATGTAGGTAGGAAATACACTCTGAGTTGCTACACATTCTGTTATAGGGCTGAGTAATTTTAGGTTGAGAAGCAGGTATAGAAATTGATGTAAACTCAGCAGATTTTGGGGAAATGTGAGGATTTTTACCCTTCAAACTCTCATAAAGGTTAAAATGCTGTCTCTTTCCCTCTTTTTCTCACCCTTTCCACCCAGGTACCTCCTGGAGCTTGGGAACATTCCTGAATGCAGGCTGTTGTAATTACCAGATGTTAGATTGGTTTTCAGCCTCTGGATACTCTTGTGGCATATTTAGCGAAACCTTTTGGTTTTCTTTCTGAATTTTGCATTTTCTTAAGCCTTAACTTCACACTTTATTCCACTAAAGAAGCCACAGTGCAGGATTTGGGAGCATGGAGTGAAACAGGGAGGGTGAGGAAATGCTGCTAATCCAGACCATAAGCAACTTAGAGTGAAAGGAAATGCTTTCCATGCTGGAGAGCAGCTTGTGGGTGCCAGGGCTGATCTTGGGTTAGCTCAATCCTCTTCACCAAAACTCACATGATCTGGCAAGAGTGCTGTGCTGTAGGAAGAGCAGTTTTGTGGGTAGCACCTCTCTTTTCTGAGCTGCCTTACACCTCTAGAGTCTTTTACTGACTGATGGGAAAGGCTGAGTAGCTGAAGGATTTGGGAGAGGGAGCTGAGAAGTGTCAGCTCAGCTTGGCTGTGTGACCACAGGAGATTTCTGATGTCCAGAAATGGCCTTTGTGGGCCTCTTAAAACTACTTCAATATTTATCAGCTGACACCTTGGCCCTCTTGGTTGGGGTATTATATTCCTGTCTTGCTCTCCATTTAAGAAATGCAATAGCACTTGTGGTTCTTCATTCTGTATGTAATATTGCAAACATGTAGTTTTAAAAAGTGAGCCATTTATCACTGCTTCTCCTGGCCTTCAAAGCTTTGCAGCTTTTATCACTTCCAATCACAATGTTACTGAGTTGCTTTCAATGTCTGCACAGGAAAAAAAGCAATATGCACTTCATTTTCACCAAGTTTTCCTTCATCCTGTCTATCAAAGTGCTGTCTCTTGTTGTCTCCTTTCTCCACATTCCCTTTCACTTCATGGTGTTCCTTCTCTGTTTATTTAGAGATCTCTTTCTTAGATAACTTAGTAGAGAGCATTATGTAAATCTTATCAGGCCATTTTTGCCCAGACCTCTTTATAAATACAGCAAGTGGGATTCTTTCCAAATGCAAACTCTTATCCTTAAATCTGGCAATATTCATGGGAGGGGGTGGATCCCACTGCTTCTCTTAGAAAAATAGATTCTTAACATCAAACGGTTTTTGCCCAAACTGCAAACAGAATATCTGTGCTGTTCTGGTATTTTAAGCCTGACATGCTTTTGAAGAGTTCAGGGAAGGAGGATCAGAGCAGATGATGTTCTAATAAAGTCTGTGCTCTATTATGGAGAAAAGATTCAGCAGAAGTTAACATTTATTTTGCATGTAACTGGACCTATGCAAGGAGTTTGCAGTCTATTTTTAGAGAAAATAGAGGAGGAGAAGGGAAGATCTGTGTGGTGAATGACTCTGAGATCGATGGATTTATTTTTTTTCTTTGTAACAGTAGCAGAACTCTGCCACCTTGACCTCACCAAAGAGGAGTACTTGGAATAAAACCACAGCATACAGAAGTCTTCACTTGAACCTTCAGTTTTGCTTTGAAGCATATGGGGTATATTTAGTTGTAAAGCTTCTGATGAAGACTGAGACAAAGCTGGCTTTCTAGCAGGGTACAGTGTTGTTCCTGAGGTGCTGTGCTTGGTGGGATGATGCACTATGGACTAATGTTGCCATAAATCAATGCTGAAAGTGAGGAGAATTCTGAGACAGCATCCACTCCTAGCCTAAAGGTTTTAAAACTTCAGCACTTGTAATAATCAGTAATTTTTGGAAGGGTTCCCTATAGTGGTTGAAATACAGCTTACTAGGCAAAGGTTTGAAGCAGATCTAGAAAGATCTTTCAGTTAGTCAGGCTCTAATGGAGCCATTTTCTTAAGGCAGCATTTGTGAAATGGTCCATGCTTGCTTACAGTTAGTCCTGCTTTGACACTTGTAAAGATTTATAGATAGATATGTAAGAATGAATGAGAAGGTTTATATAGATAAATGAAATGGGAATAAAAACTGTATCAGTGTGTCTGCTAAATGAAATTACTGGCAAGAAAGGAATATTTGATCTCAGAGGTCTCTCCTCATTGAACAATTACTGAAAAGCAGCTTTCAGGTGTAGCTCTGTACTGTAAGGGAGTTGATAGTTGAGTGTCCCTTGGCTGCAGTGACCCTGAAACAGCCCTGGAAGCAAAAAGCAGCTCCAGGATGCTCAGGGAGCTGGGGAGCTCACAAGCATCCCATAGTGTAGCTGTGTCATTGCTCTGTTGGACCCACCTTTTGCAGGTGAGTTTCTTGTAAGGCATCCAAGATAAACCCTAATGAGCACTAATTAGGGTGTGATAGAGCAAAGGCCAACATTCTGCAAACCAGTGCAAGTGGGGCTTTTCCCTTCCCAGTGGGCTGGAGGTTAAACACTGCTCTGGTGAGGGCTGATCTGTGGATTATATCCAGGTCTGAAGCAGTTTGAAGTTATCTGGGACATTGTTCTGGTAATGGCTGTGATTAGGAAATCAGATTTTCCACTTCTACTATTGTCACATTGAATCTTACTCTTGTTAAATTATAGCTGATGTATTGTTTTGGTCAGCAGAGTATTTTTTTGGTACAACCCCCCAGTGGTTATTAGCAGTAGCAAAATTACACAAACTGCATGATTAAATTCCTAAAGAGCTGAAGCTTGCATTCAGAACTGGAGGAAGGCTTCCTTTTTGCCTGTAGCTAATACATAAGAGGATTTTCTTCAAAATATGATTCATTAAAATGTCTATACTAATGACTACAAAAGGCAAAATAAAGCTACAGCAAGAGTCCCAATGGACCTCTCATTACCAGATAAGTAATCATGAGAGGTATGGGAAGCTTAATTAAATGTCCATGAAAGGGGTTGAATTTATGAACTGTTAAAAGCTGTTCTGGCAAAAGATTTCAAGTGATTAAAACCTGTAAAGTTAATGGAGATTGGTAACATCTGAAATTGTTTTCCTTGTTCTTTGTTGGCTGCCTGGAAAGTGCGAATAATGAGGTTGTGTTCTGGATGGATTTGGAACACAGTGATGAGCATCTGTGTAAACTATAACTCTATATTCAGGGAATTTCTGGATGAAATGCAGCGAGGCCTTTGGCCACACCCTCAGAGTTTATTTACAGTATTAGTGAAAGAAAATAGAGTCTATCTATCCCAAAAGCATCCTCCATCTGTGATGTGGGAAGAACTCTAAAAACCGTTGTACGTTACTCGTAAATCAGATTATTGATAAAATTCTGCAGAGGGGTAGAATGGGTAGACAGCTTCTCAGTGGTGCATTCATGAACTCTGCAGTGTGTGTCCCTACAATGTACACTGGGCTTCCTCGGGTGGTGTGAGTGCCACTTCATTAAGTACCCTTCAATATGAGCAGAGCTGGGCACTGATCACACCTAGACTGGTTTGAACTACCTGCACAGCCCTGGGGAAGGGCCTGCTGTGGCTGTGCAGTTTGTCCCTGTGTCACAGGGGATGATAGAGGGTGCCTTTGGAATTGCTGCTGGCAATATTAGGGTGGAGATTAGAATAGGAGATGTGTTCCTGGGCAAGTGGGAGAGGCATCTGTTGTCTTTACTATTCCCATGAGTGCTGGACTTGGCAGTGCTGAGTTAATGGTTGGACTCTGACCCTGAAGATCTTTTCCAACCTAAACAATTCTGTGATTCAGTGGGATTTATTTCTCTGAGAAATCCATGCTGGGAAAGCCTGGAATGCCATCTGGCTTTGCCTTTGGTAGTGGCTGACTCTGGATGTCCAGAGCAAGAACAGAGCAGCCTTATGGCACTTTACACACTTGTTATAATCTGTGAAGAGAGAGAGATCCTCCACTTTCCAACTTGAGAAGTGGAAACTTTTCCAAAACTAAAGAGCAGTTGAGCTTGCAGATTAGTGTCCACTTGGTCCAGGTGCAAGTAGGAATGGATGTGCCTTGCCTTCTGAGGCTCTGCATGGAGCCCAGCAAGGCACATTTATCAGGATAGCACCTATGGCAGGTCCCAGGAGCACTTGGAAAGATTGGTTTTGGATTACTGACTCTTCAGTTCAGGTGGTTCTCAGCTGATTTAGGCACAGTTCTTTATATACTTTCTTGGAGTGAATGGCATTGGGGACAGACAATGTCTGGACTAAAGCTGCTTTTTATGGGTGTGTATCTGGTGCACGTGGGTGAAGCACACCAGGGAGGGGTGGCAGCTGATCCTGCCTGTGTTTCTGGTTTGTAACATGTTTATTTCTTATCCCACAGGTCGGTGAGCTGGTAAAGGTCACAAAGATTAACATGAGTGGTCAGTGGGAAGGAGAATGCAATGGCAGACGTGGTCACTTTCCATTCACACACGTCCGTCTGCTGGATCAACAGAATCCTGACGAGGACTTCAGCTGAGTGTGGCTCAACAGTTGCTCTTATAGATGGGAACAATCTCAACTTGTTTTTATTGCAGATGCCATCAAGACTAAGCTCGGACCGACGCTGCAAGTGGTATTGCTTGGATAAGCATTCTGATAACCTGCAACCCCCTGGGACTCAGCACCACCATTCCTTAAGCAAGGGTCGTGTAATTCAGGGTACGACAGTAGATAACTCGTGTGTCCAGTGGCACTACTAGGCCATGATTAGAGGTTGTAATGCCTGCTTATGTCCACGTGCATGGCAGCCTGGAGCTTCCAGCAGCAGCAGCTGGAGAAAGCAGTGCTGTAGATGTTCAGAGAACATTTACAGCCCTCTCCGGGCCCATTGCTTATGTTGCTTCTTCCTCAGGCAATGAAGATCAACCGTAGACAATTCAATACCTTGATAGAAATTTCACAAATTTCTCCTGGAGCTCTCTCCGTGTTTTCTGCCATCCTGGTTCTCTGTCCTAGAAAGGCTCTGCAGTGCTCTGCATGGTCAGTTAGCTGTGCACAGCACAGACTGAGGCAGGGCCCGCTGGGCACAGCCTTGTGATTTACAGATCCTTACCATGTCCATGGTAAATGACAGATCCAATCAACCTCAGAATTCTAGAAGCTTGTGGACACTAGATTGATTTCTTCAGTACTGTTGATGCTTCAAACATAGCAGCTGATTTTAATTTAAGATTTTTATTAACACACAGTATCTCCTTTTATCCACAAATACAAGGCTTATGGAAGTGTAAACCTCCATATCAGTGCTGAAAAATACGTGCATAGCACTTTAATACGTAGCTTTAAAGCAGTGTTTGATTCACTAAATATACTAAAATATTGACACTGCTTTCCAATAAAATTAAATTGTGTAGGGCTAGTTTAATTTTTCTGGAATTCTTCAATATTGTACAATACTGTTACAGTACAAATCAGTGTCAAGCACGGTGAACTGACAAACCAAATATTAGTTTTATTTTAAAGACAGTCTGGGGACTCTTCTGGTTTAATTCCCATCTGTAAAATATTTGATAGTGAACTCATGAGGATTTTATTTTTAATAAACTAATGGAAAATAATTGTGTGCTTCTGGATTGATTCTCAAAAGGCATAATAGAGTAAATATGGCTTCCTAGCTCATGATGAAAATCAGTGCATTGAGTAGGCAGTATTATGTACTGCTTGATGGTTGTTTTTTAGTCTGTTCTTCTAATTATCTGGTTTTCTCTAATATAAATCAGAATGGATTTAGTAAGTTTTGTAAACTGAAATTAAACACTGAAATAACTCTCCCTTGCCTGTACCCTGGGTTGTTTTCCAAGCACAGCACTCTGGTGACCAAACTAAATTTTGTAACTTGGACTACAGTATAATCCATGCAGAAGGGTTTTTCTAAATAGTATCAAACTGAAACTGGTGGGTTTGGTTGCTTCAGACCCGTGTGACCCCAAGGCTCATGGGGTGCATGTGCTGCCAAGGCCTTTGCTGCAAGGCATCGACCCTCCAACAATACTGGTAACACTTTACCTCAGAACTCTGTAACATGCTGGAAATGATAATATTTCTGTTCTATTTAAGTACTAGTTGTTTTACTTCAAAACTAATCCATCAGCAAGTCTGAGTAATGTTCAGGTTATGGGCACTCATTAATTCTGTGGACTAACGTTGATCACACTTGTCCATCACCAGTCTCATGAGCACTACTGAGGATTAAAATCAAAAACTGACAGCAGGGACAGTGGGGTAAGAATGGAAACAAGGAATTGCAGCTCTGTTCTACCTTGGATTGTTATTCTGGTTAGGGTGACGTGCCAGTGATTGTGGGAGCTCTTCTAGCTTAGTACAAAATTTACTTTGAGGGGAAAAAATTGTGAAACTAACTCTAGGTTCTGTAACTGATCAGGTTCTTTAAGGCTGATTTGTTGTTTTCCTCTGATCTTGATATTCACTGTAACTGTTCAGCTGCACTCTAAATAACAGACTTAAAACTGAGTTTTTCAGTTGCCCATGTATGCTTATGTTTGTCTTCAGGTTTTGCAAAAGGAACATAGTAAACAGTGTGTCATTAGAGTGACACTGTTCTGAAGTGTTTTTCAATTGCAGTTAATGAAAGCCCATATATTTCTACCTTTCCAATCAGGAATTCAGATACCAAAAGATGATTTTTCTGGAAGTTTTATTATGCAAACCTTGCTTTTTTAATACGAAAGACATTAATTGAATTAACTAGCAAGTTCCCTGCAAACTTTGTAGATGTGGTTTTGTTAAGATTGTATAAATTGTGAATATTTGTACACTTTGAAAGAGCAAAATAAGGAAACTAGAGGAGTCTTAATAGCTGCTGTTACACTAGAACCCCAAGTTCTTCTCAAACAGTTTTAGCTGACTGATACATTATTGCAACTGTTTCCCACTCTTCAGTTCTAAGCTGAAATGTGATTTTGTTTTATAGGTGATAGAAAGGAGTATGAATTTGGACAAAATAGACATTTCAACTTGTCAGGGTCTTCAAGGCAAATAGGTAGAACCCATGTCCATGAACATGTAGAGGAAATCCTTTTGTGGCCTTTGTTTATCCTCTTCTATTGTTCCCTCCCTTCTCCCAATGCGTGCAAAAAAATCATTGCTCAGAATGTTGGTCACAATCTTTTGTCTCTTCCTTGGCTGTGGTTTTGGTCTCTTGTGCATAGGCAGGTGTTAGAACTAGAATAATCATTTCTAGAAATACACCATGAAAGCAGAATGCTCAATTACACTGTGTTCTTCTGGTGCATTTACACGTTATATCACACTAAAAAGTACAACTGGCTGCTATGGTTTTTTAATATATATTTCATTTTGGTAAGCCCCTGCCTTTTTACTAATATATGACCTGGTTAAATCTTGTTAATCTGTTTGAATTGTATTTGTTAATAATGCAAAGATTTCTAATCATCTTTAAGAGCAAAACACTTCCTTTTTGTTAATGGTTTTGGGGAAGGATTCTAACCAAACCTGTTTGGAGAAAAATATGAACATGTGCCATTGTATTATAACACTATCCACTTTCTTGACAGTTAAAGTCCTTTTTTATTTTTTTGTAGCATGTAATGTATATGTTCATAGTACGTGAAGTAAATAAAAGTATAGCCAAAACTTTGACTCAGTCATTCTCAATCAGTTCTTGGAGTACTTGCATGTAATTATTAAAAATAGAGGGGGTATGGCCATTTTTAATTGGCCATGTTAGTATGAAAATAATTAAACACAGCACTACAGAAATAAGACAAACCAAGGTAACTAAATTAACTTATCAAACAATAAAATATGGCTTTTTTTAAAAGAAGGTGACTTTCTGTAATTAAATGAGTCAAGGGGTTGGGGAAAATGTATATTCTCATTAAAATAAAACAACTTGTGAGGAATATTAAGATGAGATTTTGTAGCTCTTGCTCTCAATTCTACCTGCACAAATGTGTCAGGGAATAGTCTGGGGATTGTTTGGATGGGAAGTTTGGGAAGATCAAAAGCTGTTTATATATTCTTAGAAATACCAGTGAAAACAAAGTTACACAAACGAATACCAGCAAAATCTCCTGCAGGAGTCTACAAATGGTTCAGAAGAGCTGGTTTTATGTGTGAGAGCACTAATTCAGTGAAAGGCCAGGGTGTGCAGGTGCTGTCAAGGGCTGAAGGACAGAAAATCAGGATCAGAATCCCATGGGGAGCAATGTTTGTAATATCAATCTGCATTAAAGCTGCTTTTGCCACACTATTCCTTCAAAACTGCCAGGGGATGGTGGCCCTTAGGCCCCAGGGATAAGAATCTTGGTGTGTCTCCACACAGCAAAGATGATTCTATCAGCTCCAGATGGAAAAAAACCTCAATTTTTCATAGGTAGAAGCCCCCAGCTTTGCTCCAGTGCTTACCCACTGCAAAGGTGCCTTTTCATGAGATGAGCTGAGAGAATCTCAGAGCTCCCTGCAGCCAGAAGGAAGAGGCTGTGCCTGCCCTTCCCCAGGGCCCTGCCAGCCATCCCCTCCTGCTTCACCTTGAGCTCCCTGAGCTGATGGAGCACAGGGCTCAAGCACAAAACTGCTTTTCCTTTCCCATTCCCTCTCCTTTCAGCTGTGGGGTTTGGCTGCAGCAGTGGTGGAATGAATTCATGTGAAAGTTCAGGGGGCAAAGGGCAAGCAAGGATTGCATCAGCAAATTGTGCTGTATTTCCTTGGATTAGGCTGTTTATTCCTCATGCTTTGCCAAATCCCTGACCAATTTCCAAATATCTGAATGCCATCTGTAACGAGTGCATTCCAAAGAATTTCAAGTATTTAGACAATATGCTATTATTTAGCAAGGGTACCAAGAATGCACCTCACTTCTGGCAATTAAATCTGCTTGAAGTGTCCTGATTTATTGACATTATGAACACCCTGCAACCTTAGTGCCTGCTGAACACGAGGATGACAGAAAAATTCCTAAATTGATCCAAATCTAATTTATTGTGCACAGCTCCCCAAGTCTCTGCTGGAAAATAGACTTTTATGGTCAAGAGAGTGCAGAAGTGATTTGCAAGTCTTAAAAATTTACACAGAGATAGTGACTGTGCACTACTGGGACCTTTTAAGTGCCAAACTTTGTATCACATATTTACCATCAATTCAGAAGTAAAGGTTTACAATGATCCCCAATTTCAGCAAAATCAGCATTTTCTAATCTTACTTTAAATAAATCAAAAAAAGCAAATTTTTTTTTCTGGACTTGACACCTAATTTTCAGTGACCTTAGTCACTGATGTCTTTGCTTTTAAAAAATCCTGATTAGATTATCCTGATCTGTGAAAAAGAGGGCCTAAATATCCCTTGAAAACAGAGCATTGATTTTCTGAGCAAGTGATATAAAAATAATTCTGTCAAGTTTTTAGATTTATTTATAAGAAAAGCATAAGGTTATGTTGATCTTGCAGACCCTAAAACTCTTGTTCATCAACTGAAAAAAATAAGTCAGGCCACTAATAAACTACTGAAAAAATGTGCTTTGAATGGTGTTCAAGGTGTGTGCCCTCAGTCACCCATCAGGAGCCCATTTCAGTAGGCACAATACAATAAATGGGGATACCTGACCTTGTGTCCAGGAGGTGCCAGGGCCAGCTCTGTCTCTGCTGTCAAAACTTGCAAAGGTCTCTGTGCACCTCTGTCAGTGAGGGGATGGGAGAGCATCTGTGGTCTGCACTTCAGGGAGACACTGGGAAAAGAGACAAGACTTCATTCACAGCTGCCCTGAGCAAATCACAGAATCGTGGAATGGTTTGGGTTGGAAGGGACCTTAAAACTCATTCCAATTCCTCTGCCATGGGCAGGGACACCTTCCATGAGACCAGGTTGCTCCAAGCCCTATCCAACCTGGCCTTGAACGCTCCCAGGGATGGGGATCTTTGAAGATCACGTTCATGCCAGCCATACATCATCCCTTTTAGTTTTCTAAAACCATTCTGATGTCAGAAATTGAGGCATTATCTCAGTTATTGAAGTGAATGCTCCTTTTGTTTTTCAGAAGTACTGTGTGAGGAACTCGTGAAGCATTCAATTTTACTTTCTAGATTTTCTAGCCTCTTGAAAGTGTGCAATTACCACGTGCTATGCACTGGAGGTGATACTTAGAGCAAACACCCTGGAGAGGCCGCAGAAACCTGTATCTGACCGTCTGCCTTTCGGTCAGAGATCCACCCTTCCATGTGGGGCACACGCGGTGATTTGTACCCAAATTTCGAGAGGGTAACACAAACAGCGCTGTCAGCGTCTGAGGGCAGCACAAACACGGAGAGATGGAGCCGCACTGAGGGAAACGCCACCGGCGGCCGGGCCCGCTGCCCCCCGCTCGCCCACAGCCACGTCCCCGGTCACGGCCCCGCCAGAGCCGGGCGGGGGAACGGCGGATCCATCCCTGCCATTGCCGGGCCGCCTCATCCTTCATCCCGCGTTATTCCTCATCCCACCTCAGCCCTCAGGCTGCTTCATCCATCCCGCCTCATCCCTCACACCAACAACACCGCCTCATTCCGCTTTATCCCTCATCCTGCCTCACCCTCACGCCGCTTCATCCTTCCTGCCTCACCCTCACGCCGCTTCATCCCTCGTCCCGCCTCATCGTGCTTTATCTCTCATCTCGCCTCACCCCTCAGACCGCTTCATCCATCCCGCCTCACCCCTCATTTCGCCTCACCCTTCACACCGTCTCATCCCGCTTGATCCCTCACACCGCCCCATTCCCTTTATTCCTCACCCCTCCTCACACCCCTCACACCGCCCCATTCCCTTTATTCCTCACCCCTCCTCACACCCCTCACACCGCCCCATTCCCTTTATTCCTCACCCCTCCTCACACCCCTCACACCGCCCCATTCCCTTTATTCCTCACCCCTCCTCACACCCCTCATGCCGCCTCACCCCTCACGCCGCCTCACCCCGCCCCCCGCTCGTTGCCAGGGAGCCGCCGTTGCCATGGGAGGCGGCGGGGCGCATGCGCGCGCCAGCGGGAGTGCCCGGATGCAGCGGGAGGAGGCGCTGCCGCCATATTTGCCCGGAGAGCAGCGAGCTGGTAGCTGCAGAGCCCCCCGGACCCATCGGCTGCCATCCGCCCCGCGCAGTCCCCGCCGCCGCCCCGCCCGTAGGACATGGACGATCGGGAGGACCTCGTCTATCAGGCCAAGTTGGCTGAGCAGGCTGAGCGCTACGATGGTGAGCGCGCGGGCTCGGGAGGCCGTGCACGGCCGAGGGGAGAGGGAGGGAGGGAGGGAGCGGCCACAAAATGGCGGCTGGGCGGGGGAGGGGGGCAGGGGCGGAGGAGGGGGCGCACACAAAATGGCGACGGGGAGCGCCCTGAGGGGCCGCTGGAAGCGGGGATGGGGGGCCCGGGCGAGGGGGTGTCTCGGGCCGGGGCGGGGCCCGGGGCGGGGGGCGGTGGCGGCAGGAGCCGGGAATAAAATGGCGGCCGCGAAGGGCGAGTCCTGGAGGGGGGGGCAGGGGAGCCGCCCCCGCCTCGGGCAGCCCCACAAAGAGACCCCGCTGCCCCTCACGGCGCCGCGAGGTCCGGCCGGGCCCGGCCCCGCGCTCCCCCGGCCGGGCGGAGCGCTGCGAGGGCGGCTCGCCGCAGACAACGCCCATGCCGAGCGCTCGGAGGGGGGGCCCGGCCCTCGGCCCCTCACCGGCCGTGCTCGTGGGGGTCCCCAGGGACGGGGCTGCGCTTCTTTCTCTGCCTCTACCCCCGGCTGGAGATCCTGCTGCCCCTGGCAAAGCCAGAGAGAGCGAGTTCTCACCCTGCAGGGAGCAAGTACATGATTCACTGCCTAAAGAAAACGCATATGCTTTCATTATGTGGTAGGAATTATTACAGGTAGTTTCACTTTCCCAGCGTTTTCTTTTCATCCTTTTTCCCCTTTAAGTTTTTGTGCTATCCCTGATCATTTAATATCCGCGATGATTTAATATCTGGGGGAAAAGGGGTAGAGGGGAGGAACTGGCAACCCTGGGTGGTGTCTCTTGCCCCAAAAATGTCTGTCTTGCAACTGTTCCTTTTAAACATGGTTCCCCTGCATATGATAGAAAGGGCCTTTAATTTTCTCGACTCTTCTGAGACTGTTACTTTGCCCTGAGAGCTGTGATTACTCATTTGAAGTGAAATAAATATATGTAAGTGGAATGTGTGAATGCAGTAACACCTCATTTAGAGAGGTAAGAAGACACTCCAAATATTTTCTGTTCCTAAATTTTTATAGACAACATGACCAAGTTCTCACCAAATGACACGTTTTAACTGAGTTGTGCTTAAAAAAATCTGATGGCAAAAACCATCTGATGGCACCATTGCAGAAAATCTGAAAAATACACATTTTTGGAGAAAAAAAAAGAGAAACTAAAAAAAAAAGAAGGCCTAAATAAAACTCCATTCATTTAGAGTTCTGATTGGAAAATAGCTTAGAATTCATAGTACCACTAAAGGAAAGCAGTAAGGCAGTCTCTGCAATAACTGAAGCACTTGGAGAGAGGAAATGGCCCCAGAATCCAGGTATTGGGGTACCATAATTACCTTGGGCAGAGGAACACATCCATATTCCACAGAATGTGTGTTGAGGAGGGAAGGGTTCTCCACCTGGTATGGATGAGTCAGTGCCACTGAAAGTGTTGGCTTTGGCTCGAGTGGAAACCCAACATCCTGGAGGAATCATCATCCTTGGGAGCTCTTGAGGCATGACTGTCCTTCTGGGGCTTTCTGAAGTCAACAGTAAATCACTTTGTTAGAAGGTAATAGGACTCTCCCCCATGGCACAGATCTGCAATGCAAACTTCCTGTCAACTGATAAAAATTGATTGGGAAGGATTATTGCCTTGGTGCAGCATTTCCCTGGGTGGACTTTTGGTTCTCCCAGTACCATGAATGTTTGCTAAACAAGCTGCCCAGAGCAGAATGTAGGAGAATTGTTGTGCTCTATTGCTTCTGAATGGGCATGAGACTGGTTACAATTTAGGAGGGAGCACTGAAGTTAAGGTTGTCTTGTTCAAATCAGTGCTCTGGGTTTTGGACTTCCAGAGGTTTGAGGAATCAGGTTGGGCCAACATAATTTAAGATGCACCCTCTAATTCTGCCAGCTGCTCTAAATGCATCTTCACTTCCCTCGTGTCCATGGCCTGGAAGAAAATGTACTGTAGATACTGTTTTATCATTTAATTCTCTGTTCCTGTTCAGCTGAAACAATTAAAAATGATTGGCATAATTTGTTCTTGGTAATGTGAAATAATGCAGTTCTACCAAGATCATAGCTGAGACTGCTGAATAATTCTGTGAACAAAGTGATTTGAGAAGCAATATGAGGAAAGAACAAGCTAATCCTAATTTTGCTCCTCAGTTTGATCTTTGAGGTGCACAATTTTAAGACCACAGTTATTAATGGGCACGTATAAAATGGGGTGATGGTAAGTACTGGCTACAGATACATTGGAATACAAGTCCCTTGGGTTATTCAAATGTGAGTTTGACAAATCTTTTTGTGTTTAACATTAGAATAAGTGTAAATTTCTGTCCCATCTTTCTCCTGGAGACTGGAAGAATGGTGGGTTGCTATTTATGTATGGCTCATGGCATTTATAGCAGCACTTATGGTGGGCATCCAACTGTGGCTTCTTTGGTGTTACTTACCTGACCCACTTAGGGAATTTCTGAAGTCTTGGGAGCTGCATTTGTGAACGGTTGGGAATCCAGTCCTGTGGCTGTACTGTCCTCAGGACGGTGGCCCAGATTAAGAGGACAACTTTCTAGGTACTTTGGCAGTGTAAGTAGCACTTAAACCCTGATCTCCAGAGATATATTAAGAGATTTGGGTGTCTGACTATCTCCACAGATCTGCTTAGGCATGTTATGGCAAATCACAAAATGCCAGGAAGCTTAGTGGCAGTACAGGAAGCTTGGTGAGAAATCTCACTCACTGCTACTCCTTATTGGTAGGATAATATAGAACTAAATGCACTCCTTTTTTGGAGAACAATTGGAGAAAGAGATCTTGTGGAACTCTTTATAGCAAGAGGATGTAGAGGATTCCTGTAGACTGCAGTTGAATATTGAAACCAATCCCTCTTTGTGGAAGCTGGGATCATCTTTGTTTCAGGTGAGGAACATGCTGTGGCTCAAGGCAGTCTGTGAGCAGATACTTCAGAGTGCATCACTGGGGTGAGGTGAAATAGGTGGGGTTTCCCCTCAGAACCAGAGAACAGGTCAAGGTACAGGTAAGGAAAGCCCAGCCCACCCATGACAGGTCTCCTGCCTGGCTCCTTTGTCTCTAGAAATGTGTCTTTATCACAGGCAGGAATGTGTGCAGCAGTGGTTCAGTTCAAGATTTGAACCCTTTTTAGGAAGATCTGTCTCCTAGTAACAGGTCTTCAGCTTAGAGCCTAATGAGGAATCAATAAGTCACAAATTAGAATTCAAGTTGCATATTAATTTTGGTTTGCAGAGATTGGTCTCTTTCAAACAGATGTCAAGCACACTTCAGCTTTTTGGGTTTCTCTCCCCATTAATGGTGACCACTTACCCTGTGAAAGCTCTTACTGCTGGAGTGATGTGGGGTGTGACTGCTGTCTCTGAGGTAAAAGGCAGAAAAATCTCAGCATATCCCTGAGAATTGTAGGAAACCAAGAGTTAAAATATGGGCAAGACAGTGCTAAAGGAGTAAGACTGTACATTTCTTTAAGTGGGAGTTGTACACACTGGGACATAAATGACTTGTGATTGTGAGCAGTTGTGTGAGAGGGGGCCTTTGTCTGTGATGGCCTTCTTGAATGTCCCGAGGTACCAGGAGCAGACAAAGGAGACAGAATTCTGCAGTTGCATGGTCAGCTCCTCTGCAAGGAGCCCAGAAGCTGAACTGGTTTCCAGTATTAGAGGGTTGCTCAGCAGCAGATCTCAGTAAAGGGAGAGATTTATGATCAGGCCCAGGCTTAAGATGTTTGCTTTCAAACTGAAATGTTTGTTAGAAATAGTGGGGAAATCCTCTTGATTTGGAAAAGTAAATGTCCAGAGCTTGAAGAGATTAGAGGAATGATTAAAAAATGTTCTTGTTGCAAGAAGGACTTGTGGTAGACCATACAATTGATCACACAGAAAATCCCACTGTTGCTAGGATAACTTGGACCTAACCTGTGTTCCTCCATGTGTGTAAAGATCAGGACTGTTTATTGCAGAGTCATCCTGCCAGGTTTGGAAGGGTTTTGACTGCACCAGCTGTTACAAACCTTACACAAGGAATAGGAATATAACCCTCTGCTTTGTCCACAAATCATCATCAAGCCACTGTGCAGGCTGGATATTATTTGGGTTTTTTTTCTCCTCTGCCTGTTGGTTGTTTTAACTGGGAATCCACCTGTTAGGTTCTTTTATGTGATAAGGAATGCTTCTCATTTGTACTTGAATTCTGGTCTGACCCTTAGAAGCAGTTCAGTTCTCTAAATAAAAAGCAGGATTAATTTTTTTCCCCTGTGAGTAGTTGTCTGAGCTGGTGACCTGAATGAGGCAGTTGAGAGGTCAGAGGGGTGTTGAGCTGGCAGGAGGGAATCAATAGGGATGGGTTCAGCCATCTCTGGATGCCAAACACAGATTCCCTAAGAGAACAGAAAAACCTCCTGCAGGCAGTGTCATGGTGTGTTCAGAGGAGTTCCTGATGGATGGGAGGAGGAGCTGAGCCTCCACTTGGTTGAGTTTGGAGCATCAGTGTAGTGAGGAGGGTGGTGCCCACTGATGCTGGTCTGTAGCTGTGGGAAGTGCAGCCTGTGGCATTAATCTGCATTAATCTGCACACTTACATTCATCTCTTACTGCAGAAAACCCACTGGCCCCTATTCCTTCAGTTCTTCTCGTGTTTGTTCCGAGGAGTTTGCTGCTACTAAGTCAGTACTTTTATTTGCTCCTGTTTCTGTGTGTCCCTCAGAAATGGCAGCCTGCTTCCAGCCCAGATCCCTTGTGACTCCACTGGTGGCTTTCTCTCTTCTCAACACTTGAGTCTCATATTCATGCCCTGTTTCCTGTCTTTCAGCCAAGTGTTTATCCATGTGAGGGCTTTCCTTCCTATCCCATGGCACTTGAGTTCCTTAAAGAACCTTGGGTGAGGGACCTTGTTAAATGCCTTTGGGAAATCCAGGTAGCCCATTCCAGTTGTGTCCTTGTCCACGTGGTTCACTGGTTCAAACCATTCCAGTAAATTTGTGAGGCATGATGGAAGGCCACACTCTACAGTATAATGATTATGCATATACCCCCTTATTCCAGGGTTTTTTAAAGAGTAATTCCCATTAACTTGACCCCTAGTGAGTATTAGGTTCATGGTGTTGTAGGTCCCCCTGAGTGTCTGCTGGAACCCTTCTGAAATGACCAGTGTAAACCCCTTTGTGTTGGCATCTGGTAAAGCCCAGACTGGAGGTTATGCACAACAGTTTAGGGTCAGACACTTGAAGTTCCTGTGACTTGTTCCTGATCATCTTTTGTTCATGGCAAGAATGAACAAGTACAAGGCTAACACTTGTACTGACTCTTTGAGTACTGGTTATGGTGTGTGATCACCTGTGGTGGACACAAGGGAAGATTTGTTTTTTCTCCTGTGTCCTCCACCTCCTCCCAGCTCACAGGATGCTCACTTGCAGCTTTTTGCTCCCAAAATGCTGAAGTAGGTACTGGGCAGCAGCTTGGAAGCTCAAAGATCCTGGTTTGCTTTATTGCCCTTAGATAAGGGCAGTAGAAAAGATTAAACTTCCCCATGACTCTTTAGTTTAGAGTAAGGCTTATTCTTGGTCTTTCACTTTAAACCCCAATCCCAAGCCTTGCACCTTGCTGTTCACAAACCTTTTGTAGGTGGCCACCTCTGTCCCAGCCCTTTGTGCTTTCCAGGCTTTGGAGGTGACTCAGCAGGGTTTGCAGTGGGGAGCCAGCATTTTAATCATGGTAGTAGAATATAGGAACCTGAAAAATGACCTGGCCATCATGACAGTTCTGTAGTATCTTAGGCAGTGGTTTGGAGTCAGCTTTTCCATAAAAATATACAGACCTGATCAGGCAGTGTCTCTGTGGTGTTTCTTAACCAGCAGCAGGTGCTCGGGGAAGGATCTAAATCTAGGACAAGCATGTCATTCTCCAGAATATTCCCCTCTCCTTCCACAATTTACATTTTGGGGATCTCTTGCTCTGCTGCTGGCATGAGCTGACAGTAGCATAAGAAGTGACAGCACAATCACCTGAGAGGCTGGAACTGAACCACTTCAGTGCAGTCTGTGTCTCTGAATGTGCATAACACTGCTTTTTCCATAATGCACTGCAAGGGTCTCTGGATTTTGTATGCAGTGAGTTGTCATTCCTGCAGTAATCCTTGGTAATGAAATGTAATCTCAGACTTGTATTTTGTCTTGAATAGTCTCTGACTGAGCTTTTCACCTCCTTGTGGAAACTGCCAGATAGGTAAAACTGCACTTAAAATAAAAAATAATTTGCTCTGGTGCCGGTGCAGGTTATTTTTGTTTTCTGTTGGAGGAGATACAGATAGGCTGTCCCCTTGCTTTTGTACTGCCTGTGTTCTTAAGATTTTTCATCAGGCTTAAATTTTCAGGGCTGGATTATGGCTTTACCATGGAAGACCCAGGTATGTGCATAATATTTTGTCTTGTTGAAATATCAGCCCAGATTTTTGTACTTTTAAGTAAAATTGGGCTCTTTACTAAACTAGAAACCATTTTACCCAACAGCTTTGTGGGTAGACTGATAAAGACTGATAAATGTTCTCTCTTTGGGTGGGACAGTTGTTTATGGGTGGGATTCTCATCTGTGGTTGTGTGGTTACCTAGTGACAAAATGAAGATTCTGTGGAGGAGACCTTTCAGTTCCTGTTGTAGGTGTTGGGAGGTTGTACCCAGTGTGAGGGTGCTGAAGCTCAGGGCTTTGTGCCTCACAGCAAATGGAGGAACCTGAGGTGCTCCCCATCCCCCAGCATCCTGTTCCCAGGGCTGTCACTGTCAGGGAGTCTGTTGAACTTACTGACAACTCAGTCATAAAATGTTGGGGTGATAAGGGCTGTTTACTGATAAGGAGTAGTTGGGAGCCTGTTTTCCTTTGGCTCCCTCGTTCTGTGGCTCTGCAGGAGGGTGGGTGATGACCTCCTTTGCCACCAGACTGAAACACTGACACAGGAGCTCCTTCTAGAGCAGGGCTTTGGCTTTGGACCAGCTATTGCTCAGCTAAATTTGCTTTAACCTCTGTTTCAAGAGCTTGTAGATCTTCAGACTGGTAATAGATGGATAAAATCCTGCAGAAGCCAAGCAATTTATTGAATTGGTAATGATGTGTTTGAATGTACACTGAAAACAGCTCCTCATTTACAGGGAACAGCAAGCCTTGTGTATAGTTTTTTATTTCACATTCTCACACTACACAAATGTGCTTTTAGGGAAAAGGTTGTGAAGGAAACCTGTAGAACAGGTGATAAAATGTGCCCTTTTTGGTCCAGTTGTTGCAGTTTCCTGACACAGGGCAGAAGATCTTGGAAGCTGTTGCTGTCCATGTTCCTCAACCTCCACACTTGTGCACTCATTATTCAAAGTATATCATTGTTATATGGGATAAGTGGGAATAGATTTCTGTTGTCTTCATGAAGAGGCAGGTTTCTATGAAAGCATTGTGTACATCCAGGAGTATGGCTGCAGTGCTGTGTATTTAATCCCAGTGGATAGAGCACGATTATAGAAACCCTTTAAAGAAAAAGCAGCATCTTCTGTAACCCCTGGGTTGCTTCTCTGAAGGCAGTAAATATTAGGATTGAAAACAAGACCTGCATTTTTTGCTGGAGCTTGACAAAGATACCCAGGTCATGAAGACTGCCAGTCTCAATTCCTGATTGTCATTTTTGTCCCCAAGAACTGTCAGACATCTTGAGCATAGCTCTGTTGTTTACTAAGCTTCAAAATATGAGATGGTTTAATTTGCATAATTTTAAAAATTCACAGCTTTTAAGTAGATTCTTTGTATGAATGGGATGGTGGGGTCATCCTTCAGAGAAGAAATCCCAGTACTTGCTTTATTTAAGTAGCAAACTGTAGCTGTATTATATTGCCTGTAGCCTAACTGGCATCAATTACTTATGTTTATGTTAATATTAATTGTGTGAACGTGGAGTGTTCTAGGGCAGCTCTCAGATTCTTCTCACCATTTTGCAATTGCAGGGTGGTGTTTTCAACAAATTTTATCAAATCCTTGGTGGATTTTTTTTGTTACTTTCTGTGATTTGGAGAAGCAAAATCTGCTGATAAAAGCAGAGCCACCATGAAGTGTTGTCCTCCACATATGGAGACCTGTTGGAGACTGATAACACTGTTATCAGCCTACAGCCTCCATTGCTGCAGTGGCTTATGCCTGTTCAGGTGGTGATTTTGACATCTGAGGGCAAAAAATGAAAGTTAAGCTTCATTTGTATATTTAACACTGTTCTTCTAATGTGTCTTGAGCAATCTCAGTGTGGGTAGGTAATGAAAGGGTTCCAGCCTTCCTTAAGTGGTTCAGTCTTTGCTTCCATTGGAGTGTAGGAAAGCTGGTTTTGGTTTTGGTATTGATTGTTTTAACCTCAGGTTTAGAAATACTTTTCAACAGGCTTAAAATACAAATATATATTAATTCATATTTTTTGTGTTACTTTTCAGTGTGAATGGGTACATGTGGTTGCTGTGGGTACACTCAAGATGATTTTGTTGTTACCACTCCAAGCACCACATTTTTCCTTAGGAGGTTCATCCTGCAGCTTTGACTCACTTTCCTAGTGACAGTACTCATACATCTCTACATATATTCAAATGTGGATTTTCTATTTTTGTTAATTACCACATTACATTGTATTGCAGTTGGAAAATCAGTGGAGCATCCTCTGATTCCTCAGATTTATCCTGTTTGTGCCAAGAGCCAGATCACATTTACTCACCTTTTCTCACTGTTCTCTGCTTTTTCCAGAGCACTCTGGAGAACAAACACTCCTGTAGGATTGTGCTGATAACTGTTATTAATTTCTGTAACCCTTGTGAAATACCAGATGAATATCAGATACTTCCTTTGTGGATGTGCTGATTGATTTGTTTGGAACACTCCAGGGTAAAAGTGAGGAGTAGCTGGATTAAAGGAGGAGGGAGTCTAATTAATTTCCCAAGTTCTCATTAATGTACAGCTTGTACTGAATGGTTTGAAAGGTGCTTCAGGTGTGAGAATAATTGCCTGACCTTTTCCTCCTAGAAATGGTTGAATCAATGAAGAAGGTGGCTGGAATGGATGTGGAGTTGACAGTGGAAGAAAGAAACCTGCTTTCTGTTGCATATAAAAATGTGATTGGAGCCAGGAGAGCTTCCTGGAGAATAATCAGCAGCATTGAACAGAAAGAAGAAAACAAAGGTGGAGAAGACAAATTAAAAATGATTCGGGAATATCGGCAAATGGTAAGATGGAGTTGGTGTTACAGTAAAATGCCATTTCTGTAGTTCTGGTGCCCTTGCCATCAAGTGCCCTCCTGTTCCAGATTGCCTGTGCTCTGCTGACCTGGAGTAGGGGGGCAGCCTTGGCAGGCTGGAGCCTGTTCCTTGTGTGGAGAATGAATGCCCTGGTGGAGGGGAGAGCTGTGGTGTTGCTGTGTGACCCCTCAGACAGGGAGGGCTCTTCCCTTGGTGCACCAGCAGCTCTGCCAAGCACTTGAACTGCACTGGCACTTCCCTGCTTGCTCAGGTGGGAGGCTCCACCTGCTCAGGAGGCCTCATTCCTTCCCCTCCAACCTCACTGACCCCAAGCAACTTCTTTTTAAAATTAACCCTGTTAGAGGAGGTGCTTGGCTGTTGAACTTCCACTTCCTATAGAAGTTGCTTTGGATCATACAGTGACACTTTCTGGGATTCCAGTTCTCTGTCCTAGAGAGTTCAAACGTTAACACTTGAAATGTCCATGGGGGGAGTCCTTCAGGCTCTTCTTGGCTCCTGTCACTCATGTCCTGGTCATCCCAGCTGTGAAACTTGTGTGTGTAGCAACCTCCAGGGCCTTGCTGTTCCCTCTCCCTGAAGAGAGGGAAAAATTGATCCACATAACTTCATGCTGACTTAGTCAGTGTGTGCAGCTTTACCTAAAATGGAGAACTTGGAGCAAGCTCTGACTTCCATTGGTAAGGGCTGATGAAAGCTCCAGCTCTCAGTGAGCTGTTGTTGCCCCTGCCCTAAATGATGGTTTAGCACAGAGCAGGCAGCCTCCCATACTATTTAAATCCCACACAGTTCTGCAGAGACTTCATCTCCATTATTTGAGGACAAGTGCCTTCACATGGTTCACATCTTCACTTCCAGAGAAACACTGGAGTCTGTTCTATCACCTGGCACTGATTCATATACCAGCAATGGAAATGATCCTGGCTTGGAAATCTCCCAGGAATGGTTCTGTCTACTTTCTGTTGACTCACAGGGTTTCTGTTGCTCCATGGAATTGTTAAAGTTGGGAGTTTCTAATTTTATGCTGGCATGCTGATGGGATGAGACTCTGCCAGTTACATACAGTCCCAAATAACCTTTTCTTGATGGGTGTTTCCTAAAAGAACATAGAAAACAAGACAACAGCTGTCCAGTGATTAAATTTATTTTACATTGTGTGTTTCCAGATTCTTTTGCACAGGGTTTTGTGGGTGGTTATCATCTTCTGCCAAAGATCCTTTGATGATGAAAAGACTTTTCTCCTGGTTTTGAAAGGACTCTAGAAATAGCCTTTATTCTGCATCTCTTTTTGGAAAGGATGTGTGCCATTCTGGATGGACTGGGCTGCAAGCAGTACCAGTTTATAGTGCTTGAGGTGGCTGAAGAGATGGAGAGGCCACCTGAAGTCAGTGTCATGCCAGCAGGGTGCAGAGCTGTGAAATCCTCCGAGGGAGCAGCTTCCAGAGCTGCACAGGAGGAGCAGTGCACTGAACTCAATGGTTCCACACTGGAGGAGGGGTGGCTGTGTCTGCCCAGCTCCACAGGGACTCCTGCAAGAGCTTCCTGAGCATCATCTGTAGCTGAAAGCCAGATCCTCTTAGTGCCTGCTGGGAGCCTTAATGTGGGTTGGCATCTGCTCTGAGTGTGTGAGGGGCTTGGCAGGGTGGCCTGGGAGCAGGCAGGAACACGGCCCAGGTTTGGATGCTGCTGCTCACTGTCACTGCTCAGAGTGGCACTCCTGCCCTGTTGTGCTCAGTGCTTCCCTAAGAAACAGCTTCCAGCAGAATTCTCCTCACTGGGATTCCCTTGGCAACAAATTCTGCCTGTTGGAGCAGCTTCCAGAGTAAGTTCATTGCTGGGAAAACTTTTTCAGACTTTAAAGGCTCTGAAGAAGGGAAAAACACCCCAACCAACCAAACCTTCCCCCCCAGCCCCCAAACCACGTTGGGGGCCAAAAAGGCCAAGTTTAAAGCACTGAGGAGTTGGAGAGAACCAGCATCTCTAAAAGACACATTTCTCATCTACCAGAAACAGCTGTGACCTTGCTCAGCTGGAGAGTGCTGCTGCAGTAGGAATTGAAGGTTTCTGTAGTGGTTTTTGTGAAAGTAACTCCTTGTTGGGTTGGGTGTATGTCAGTATTGACTGGAATTCAGCTCGTGGCTCACATTGAGGTGTTTGAGGTGGTGGCCAGTGTGACCTGGGGCAGAGCTCCAGGGATGGTGGTGCTGAGTGGGCAGGGCTGGGCTGGCCTTGGCTCAGGTATTTATTGGGCAGTAGTGGGAGATGAAAGACACCAGACTGTGCCTCCTCCCAAGGCACTTCAGCTGAATGGAGCCAAACACATCCATAGCCATGAGGAAAATGCCACTTATGTGCTTCCTTTGTCCACAGGCTGCTCTCCTGGCTCCTGTGGCCATTTGGATCCACAAAAGCCCCTGAATTTTCTCATCTGGCTGCATCTCTGATGGGAGCACACTGAGGCTCGTGCTCCTCATCCTGGAGAGGCTGCACTGGGGTGTGGCTGACACAGTGCAGCCCCTCCCTTGCAGTTTACCCAGATCATTCCACACCATAGCTCAGGGATTGACCTTCCCCTTCCTGCTCTGCAGATGTGGCACTGGAATTTGTGTTTCCAGTGCTCTGACTTGCAGCCTGGGCTCTGTTTGGGGCAGCTGCCAGGCTGTCCTCCATGCCCCCTTCTTAGAGAGTGCTCACTGAGCCACTCTGTCTGGAACTGATCCTTTTTGTACAAGAGCTTTGAGTTCTGTTGTGGGGTTTTTGTTTATTTGTTTTACTCTTAATCACCTTGATTTATATTAAATCTTTTTAAACTAAGCTTGCTCAGGACATTTCCATTGCCCTGGACAGCAGCTGATCTCTGATAACTGTGACTGATCCTTTAAGCAAAGCTGGAAAAGGTCTGTCTGAGATGAAATAGAAGTTTGTACATGTATGGTTATTTAACTAAAGAGGATTAGAAACTGATTTAATTCTTTGCAGTTTTGCTGAAGATCTCTCTGCAAAAGAAGTCATTGAAAAAGAGGATCAAGAGGAAAGAAGTTTGCAGGAACTGACTGCTGGCCAAAGGTTTTATAGCTTTTGTAGCCCAAGAATATATGAAGTAGATATCTCAAGTGACCATATTTCAGCACCTTTCTTAAGCATTTGTCACGTAATTAAGTACAGCATCTTATTCTTCCTGTGAATGTCAGGGCATTCTGACATTTGTCCATGAAATTTGCTGACAGTTAATTTACCTAAAGCAACTTTTGCAAATCTGTTACTTTGTACAAGTCAGTATGTGGTGTGTATGTGGCAGTTTATTATTTATTTTGGAGCTGTAATTTGAACACCTTTTGGGTATAACTGCTGTGCTTACAAACCCAGATAGTTTGGGAGCTCTGTGTGATAAAAGGATTACAAGGCAAGGAAAATGCTTCAAGGAAGAAGGAAAAGAAATGCTTGGGAGGGAGGATAGGAAGGGATGAGTGGGGCTGCTCCTGTGATCCAAAACTTGCACTTCCTGGTAATTTCTTTAATGCATTTGCTTGAAATCTCTCCTTTCTATGAAATCAGCTTGAGCCAGAGTTCTCTTCAGCTGTAGCTGTGGAAGTTGCTGTGAAATGATGGAAAAGCAGCAGTGGATGGGTGACTGTGTGCATTATTGAACCAGCCTCTCCTGCTGGGCTGCCCTGGGGCTCAGAGCCCTCTGCTCTGGGCAGTGTTGGTGTCACAGGAGGGGTTTCAGCTTTTCTGGGGTGCTCAGTTTCTTTGCTTGCAGGTGTGAAACTCTCTGTGGCAAACCCTGACCTCATAGGCCTTGCTTTGTGTTTAGAACTGGAGAAAATGAAGGTTGATGTGACTGTTGTCAGTTCAGACTCTTCAAATCCAGTATCTGTTTTTAAATAAGGCTTTATAGACTGTATTTTTGGCACAGATTTCACTGTCAGTGTTGATGATTTCTGCTTTTTCACTGAGTTGCTGCGCTTTGTGTTTTTCACCTGTTCTGGAGCTTCTCATCTTGTCCCTGACCTTTGTCTGTGTGGCACATCTTGATTCTGTTCTGATACTCCATGATTTTTGTCTTAAGGCTCTATTTTTGGAGCTTTGCCTCCAAGGACTCACTGGAACCTGTTGTGAAGGTGCCATTTAACTCTGGGGTATGATGGATCTGAGCTGATTCAGGTTAATTACCTTCAAATTGTCCCCTTTGCTGTTGCCACTTCTAGGGCAGCCTTCTGGGATCAAAAATGGAAGGAATTGAGTTGTGCAAGCCTTGCAGTAAGGAATTGCACCCTCAGACAAACTTAATGCAATGGTCTAGCAAGATGTCTCCCAAGGAATTCACAATGCCACTGTTCAGCTCCCCATTTCATCATCCATCAGTCCCTGCCCCTTGTGTGTGCCAGCTGAATGTGCAGAACTGGTTTGCTTAATGCACCTGTGGAGCAGCTGCATTTTATTTATAGTTCTTCTGTCTTAACCCTCTTTGAAATGTCATGATGTTACCTGTTTGATATTTGGGTACTTTCGAAAGCTTTTAGGCTTAAGTGCTCACTCCGCCCCCTCTTCTAATTTTTTGTTAAATTTTTATTTTTCTTTACTAGGTTGAGACTGAACTGAAGTTAATCTGTTGTGACATTCTGGATGTACTGGACAAACACCTCATTCCAGCAGCTAACACTGGCGAGTCCAAGGTTTTCTATTACAAAATGTGAGTACCTTTTTTAGAGGACAGGCCTGAAACAGAGACAGAAATCTTAAAATACTCTGTTGTGCAGCTCTTATGTAAGAAACAGCAGTTTTAATTGAATTGCTGATGTAGAAATCACATCCCTGCTTGGGGTTTTTTTATTTTGCATCAGCTGAACATTTATAAAGAGAAGAAAAGGTGTGTCCTGTAGTGATGATTTAAAATCCCCTCAGCTCCTGGTGCAGTGTTTTGTTGACAGTAACTGTGTCCTTGGTGTGTGAATATCTGAATGCACTTTAATTTAAGCTTTTAATGTAATGGCTGGTGGGCAAACAAGGGTTACTGACTTGCTGCTGTTTCTGTTCTCAGGAAGGGGGACTACCATAGGTATCTGGCTGAGTTTGCCACAGGAAATGACAGGAAGGAGGCTGCAGAGAACAGCTTGGTGGCTTACAAAGCTGCTAGTGACATTGCAATGACAGAACTCCCACCAACACATCCCATCCGCTTAGGACTCGCGCTCAACTTCTCTGTATTCTACTATGAAATTCTTAATTCTCCTGATCGTGCCTGCAGGTGGGTGCTGGCTGCACAGAGGGGATGTGGGGATGCTGTGTGATACCACAGGAGCCCAGAGTTACTGCTTCTCCTGCTTTCCTCCTGCTGGTGTGTGCTGTGATTGGTGGCAATTCACTGGGAAGATTTTTACCAGTTTTGGAGTCTAGAGCCACCTGTTTGTGTGGGACTAATGGTGTGTGAGAGGCAGAACAGTGATAACCTTGAATTGATCAGCTAAGGGCAGTTCAGAGCTTGCCAGGTTAACCCTGTGCATCCCTCAAACTGCCCAAGGTGGGAGGTGATTTAACTTGTCTTGCACAGGCTGGAAGGGGTGGTGGCACTGATTTCTGTCACCTGTGAGCCTCTGCAGAGTGGCAGTGGTTGAAGCAAATACCATTTCTCTTACACTAAGTTTTTAGCAGCACTTAATAAAACCAATATTGAGTAAGAAGTTTCTTAAAGCACAGAGTGACTGGTGTTGAGTGGTGCTCCTGGATTGTGTTCAGCAATATTTGTGACATCTTTGTTGTGTCATTGCAGGTTGGCAAAAGCAGCTTTTGATGATGCTATTGCAGAACTGGATACACTGAGTGAAGAAAGCTATAAGGACTCTACACTTATCATGCAGTTGTTACGTGACAACCTGACACTATGGACTTCAGACATGCAGGGTGATGGTGAGTGATGCTGCTGGGAAAGCTCATCCTGCCCCAGAGGGTGGCAATGGGGAGCCTTTGGTTACTTGTGTCTCTCCTAATAATGACCCTCCTGTCCTACCTTAACCCTGACCATGTGGCAGGGGTGACACTGGGCTCTTTGGAGCTCTCCCTTGAAGGAAGGAGCTGTGGCATTAGCAACACTTTGTTCTTGGTCCCTCCCCACATGGCAGCTGTGATGACTGTAAAAGCAGTGACTTGGAATTTATTTCATCTTTTCTTTCTTTCTGCTTGTCATGTTCATCTCTGGCTGTCATTCCAAGCAGATGTGGGCCTCCAGGAGGAAGCAGTGCAAATGCTTTAGTTCCCCTTCATTCCAGGTCACTCCATGTTCTCATTGCCAGAGCAAATGCCAGATGTGTCCCCTGGTAGTACCAGAGGGTGGGACATGGATTGCTTCTGTTCTCTAGCAAAGGATCACACAAATTTTTGCTTTTGGCACACTGAATGGACTTTTCCAACACTTAAACTTCAACATTCAATACTTAGTACAAATCTACTCATTTGAGGGTTTCTCCCTTGGAGAGGCAAATGAAAAGAGCTGACTTCTTTACTTTGAACTTTGAGGGGAAGAAATAAGTCCTGGTAAGATTATTTTGGGTACCTACAAATGCCCAGAGCGTAGAAACAACACTGCTGAACTTTATTAATATGTGAGTGTCTTAAATTTTTGGTGAGCTGTTCCTTGTAGCCACACAGCATTCCTGGGGATACTTCACTGGTGGTGTGTCCATTTGAAAGCAAATGCAGAATCTTTAACTTTTTCCCAGTTTCCTGTTTTTGTGTAGGGTGATGGGTTTGGTTTGAAGTGTGGTTACTCCATAGCTTCTCACTCTGCTCTTTGGGCTGCTGAGGCTGGGAATGCTCTAAATGTGTGGGGTCTTGGCTCCTGCTTTACTCCACATCCCAGTGTTTAAGGCTCTTGCACCTCCCTTTTCAAGGATTATCTCTGGTGCAGGATGGACCCTGGATGGAGCTGTAGATTTTTCTCTAAACACTGCAGGTGTTGAATGCCTTCCTTGCCATGGGAGAGGAGAAAAGTATTTCAAATTCCCTCAGTTTAGATACAACCTTTACTGTTTTTATTGGGGCCAAATACCCTGGTAGTTTGTGGAAGCCATTTTAGTGCAGTAACAAGGTTGGATCAGTGTGGGACAGTACCAATGTCTTCCAAAAGTTCCTGAGCTGCCCATAGCTGATGTCTCTCATGGATTTGTAGAAGTTCCACAGGATTATTTACAAGCTCTTTAGATTTTCAAAAAGGAATCAGAGATCTAAAATTCTTGCTCCACAGCATGGAAAATAGATATTTTTGTTCTTCCTGAAGTAGTTCAGGTTGTCCTGGTTACTGGTGCCAGAAAGATAATGATGACAGAATTGAAAATCCTGCTTAAAATCGTGGTGGAATTCTTCAGATCAGAGAATGATTATGTGGAATGTTCAGAACAGGTGCAGAGTTCAGTGTCCTCATCCTTTGCTAACACTCTGAGTGCATTTCCAGAGCTCCATATTCCCAAATGAGCAGAGCCTTTGAACAATAAATCAATATTGGCACAATGAGCAGTTTCCAGGGGATGGGAGAGGCTGGGAAAGGGCTTGTTCTGTGGCATGGAGCTTTTCCCTGTTTGCATTGCAGCCAGGCAGGGATGTAGAGCCAGGCATGACCCAGCTGCTGCTCTCCCATCCAGTCCCTGTAGCTTTGCCATGCCCAGAGGAGTGCTGAGTTTATTTCCACACTTGTAATGTCATCTCTACATGATTCCTGTTCTCCCCTTCTTTCCTGCTCTATAGATTCCTAAAGGAAAGCCCAACTGTTCATTTCCTAAAAACTCTACTTTGTAAGTCTCTCGTTGTGGCTCACTGGAGTTTTCAGTGTCAGTTTTCCTGTCACTAACAGTGCCTGCCTCTGTCACCTGCTGCTGACAAATGCTTGTGTCCCTGCTGCCACTCCTGTGGCACCTGTCCCCTGCCCAGGGCTGATGTGCTTGACTAGGATCCAGAGTAACTCACATGGTTGGGAATTGAGCTGCAAACCTGGATGGACAGAAGAATATTTGGGCATGGGAAGTACTTGACAGTGGCCTGCTAGAGGAGTATTTGCTCAAGTGTGTTGGTTAGAGCATGCTCAGATCTTCTAGTCTGGGTTACAGCCTCTGCTTTCCTCTCTTCAATAGAATTCTGTCTATAAACTTTATTGGTGTTGAATGTCCTGAGTTCCTAGGCCCCTCTTCCAAAATCCACTTCCTCTTGTACCTGGTGGTTATTCTGAATCTGGACATGCTCTGAGCAAACGTTCTGGTTATCTGCTGGGAGTTACCAGTCTCATTTTATTGCAAATGAAGTTTTTAATTACTAATTTCTGTTTATTGCCCTTAAGAGAGTCCCATCTTATGTGGTTACAGATAATTGTAAGCATTTTTTCAGCCTCCCTTATCAATTAAGTGACTTTTGCATGTGTGATGGCACCAGCTGAGGTACCTGCAACTTACCCAGGTGCAGCAGAATTTTGGTGAAGCCCTGCAGGTGTTGCATGGAGCTCCCTGGGGCAGCTGGAGTGTAACCAAACTGCAGGAGTTCCATGGACAGCCCCACTCCACTGCATGGCACAGCCTGCTGGAACAGAGACATTCATTTCTACAAGATGGTTTTCTTTAATACCCTTAAACCCAGGGGTTCTTGTCAGGTTGGACTCGCAGCAGGGTGTTTTTCACACCTGTGGTAACTCCTGCCATCAATGTAACTGTAGAAAATTCCCTGCAGTGCTTTGCTGTTGAGGCTTGAGTGGGCTTGGGCAGGAAAAGAGATGAGGGTTTGGGGAAGGCATTTCCAGATCAAGGCTGTTGATCCACAGCTGTTGCCGTGGTTTCACCTGAGTGGTGTCAGGTTTCAGGGCTGGGTTTGTTTGTCCTCACACGTTCTAATGGCCCGGCTGCAGTTGGGTGGGAGGGTGCAGGTGATTCCGAGGCTTCGTTTCCATGGGAATGCTTCACTCTGGAGCTGGCAGTGTGGAGTGGGAGAGTGAGCGTGTATTGCATGAAAATATTAATCTCTAGGTGCTTGTTCAGCTGTTCTGCAGCTCTCAGTTTGAAATGGTAACGTTTTCCTTCCTTCTTCCCACTTCACAGGTGAAGAACAGAATAAAGAAGCGTTGCAGGATGTGGAAGATGAAAACCAGTGAGACACAAAGGCCAACAAGAGAACCCATCTCTGACCACCCTCCCCCTTCCCCACAAAAACCCTCAGTGTCACTCTGAGAACCACCAAATCTGACTTTTACATTGGGTCTCAGAATTTAGGTTCCTGCCCTGTTGGGTTTCTTTATTTTTATTTTTTTTACACAGTTTAAAAGTTCTTAAAGGCAAGAGTGAATTTCTGTGGATTTTACTGGTGCCAGCTTTTAGGTTCTTTAAGACACTAACAGGACTGCATAAAGGCTCTTTCAGCATTACTGTATTGTCTCTGCCAGCTGTGGTGACATTGCCATCAGACCTGGATGTGACACCTGAAGGCCGTGTAGGGAGAGATTGGTCCTGGCCAGGTAGTGCTCATGTGGTGGCATCTTTCTTTTTTTTATAACTGTTTAAACTGAATTTTATACCAATGTTTCAACTTAATTGGGTGTTTAGCTTGAAGTTGCGAGGTTGCATTTGGGACATTTATTGTAGTGGTTTTACTGTATAAAAACAAAAAGTTTCCAAACTGCTGAAACGTTGCTGAAAATCATGGTGCTGGTAACAGTTCAACAATCCGTGGCTGCTCATTCTTGCCTGTTCTTTACTTTCCCTCCAAGCAGGTTAGCATTGAAGGTGGCATTGATAAGCCTGCATGCGTGTTCAATATTTTTTCTTTTCTCCCTCCCCTCTCCCCATCTCCCTTCGCTCGCTCAACCTCTTTTGTTCAGTATGTGTAACTTGAAGCTAATTTGTACTACTGGATATCTGACTGGAGCCACAGATACAGAATCTGTATTGTTCTTACTGAAACACAGCATGGAATTAACATTAAATAAAACAAACCTAAATTAAAAATGCCAACCATCACTATGAATTTCTTTTAGGATAATAATTTTCCTTTGTTGCTTGTACTAGGAACAGTTGGAGGGGGAGAGAGCAGCAGGAACAGCCTTGTTCTTCAGACAGGAGCTAAGGAAGATGTGATGTGAGTTGTGCTGCTGGGAGCAGCCCTTTTATCCAGTCTTTCCCTATATCAATCCCTGGGACATGGTTGGTGAATGTCTCTCACCTGCTGTTCCAGTTCCATAGATGGAGGGAAGGGACACAGGTTATCTGCTCTGCTGGGCTAAGCTGCTCCTTGCAATGGACACAGACTGGGGTCAGCCTCCCCCAAATCACGTAAGGAAACGGCACCAAAGACAAGGGGGGTTGGTTTTTTGTAAAAATTTATTCAGCATAGTCTGGCAGAGGTTATACACCAACATCTGCAGCGTGCCCTGCACACACTGAGCACAGCTGGGGATGGCCTGCAGTGTATCCCACATTCCAGCCAGGAGCAGGGCTGGACAATGGCATCAGGAACCAGAGCAGCAGAGGAGATGAGGCTGTGAGAGAGGCAGCAGTGGGTGAGAGGCACTCAGGGCTGGCTGTGGCTGCAGCAGCAGGGAGGGGAAGGGTGTCTAAGGCAAGAAGAGCAGGATGCACAGGCTGGGCTGTGGAGCTGTGCCATGGCTGCAGCAGGAATTCCCCAGAGAGCCCTGCACCCTGCAGCTGTTTGGATTAAAGGAAGGTGCTGAGGAGGAGCCTGTGCTGCAGCCAGCACCCACCCCTGTGTCCCTGGAGCTGGGGGCAGCAGCAGTGCCCAGCCCTCCTGCTAAGGCAGCACTGAGGCACTGCTATAAATACTGTGGCAGTCAGAGTGGCAGTTCTGGAGCAAGAGGAAAAGCCATTTTTGCTGAAGGTGCTGCTCTGAGCCTGCGGAGCTGTGTGGGGAAGGGGCAGTGGGGACTCCCAGACAGGGAAGGAAGGGTTGTGGGGGAAGCTCATGTTCATCCCATGGCCAACCCAGAGCAGTGGTAACCTCTGCAGTTTGTCTTACATTGTGTTTGTGTGGATATGAAAAATTCCTATGGTATAAAAATAGAGAGCAAGAAATGGGACAGCTGACTTCAAAAAAAGATAAAAGTCTCTGGCTCCTGATCAGTGAAGTTACATCATGGGTTTTTAAGGTTATACCTTGTAACCATAAACTAAAACCAACAAAAATTCCAAATCTAAAACATAAAATTTCCACATCAACTCCATCTCTCGTAGTGCATCTCATCCTTGGCTAGAAAGTATTTACAGGTTTTACTCATTTACACAATATGGCTTCACTAGATTTGTAACACAAAGCATTAAAACGTCTCCGAGCAAAATTCTTCATAAAACATTCTGAATACAAAGTTTGGCATTTCAGTGATTTGGCTGAGAAAGCAGCAGAGTTACTTGTTTTCTGATTGTGCTTTTTTTGGTGATGACAAGCACAAATTTTGGTCATTTCCATCAGGGCTTAAACTCTTCCTCCAAGCCCAGCTGAAGGTCCCGAGCTGTGGTTGCAGGGATGCTGTGCTGGACCCACCTTCAGTCGGGGAAGGAAGAGAGCAGAAGGCCTTTGTCTGGGACTTTGAGAGTAAGACAAGAGAGCAAGGATGGATTTTGTGGTTGTTCTGAAAGTGCAGGTCTTTGGTAGTAACAGAAAGAGCAAAGCGAGGAGGGAGGGGTTTGCTGGGAGCAAGGTTCAGCCAATTCCGTGGAGGGGAAGGTCCTGGAGCAGGGAATTGTTCATCATCGGGAATTCAACCGAGGAGCCACCTGCAGGAGGAGGACAGGGTTGAAAGTGTCTTCAGAATTTTAATTCCTGAACAGGCTGAGGCTGCTGTGGGGGGCAGCCCTCTGGTCCTAATGGGAGCTCTCAGCTCTGCTGGAAGGGGGGTCAGTGCAGTCTGCATTTGTGCTGGGTTTATTTCTGAGTAAGCTGGGCTCTGACAGGGCATAAACCAGCTGTGGGGCTGATCTGACTGCCAGGATCACCACATACAAGCTGAGAAGGGGAGAGGATTTTGTTTGCGTTTTTAAATGTATCTAAAATTTGATTTGCTATGAAGTAAATGAATCTTGGGGGATGGAAATAAAAAGTGAGGACAGTCCCTTGCTGAGTGTGAGTTTGGCAGCCCCTGAGGGCTGCAGGAGCCCTGTGCCCAGCTCCAACTAGGGGAAAGGCTGGGATAGCAGGGCAGGAACAGCCCATGGCTGTGTCCCATGCCAGAATGCTGGCTGGGATCCAGGGTAAGTGGATCCACACTCACCACTGTTAGATGCCCGTTCTTGGCTTTGGCTATGAGCAGTTCTGAGCCCGAGATGAAGTCAATGATCCCTTCTTTGCCTTGTCCCACTGTGAACTTGATGCTGTGAAGAGCAGAGGGTGAGAACAGCCCTGGTGAGCATGAGAACTCTCCAGGAGCTGGGTGTTAGCAGAGCTGCAGCACATGTGCTCTGGAGCCTTGGCTGAGGTGGATGGGGTACAGGAGGAAGCAGGGCCCTGGTGTCACTCACCTGCCCTGGTTGATGTTGACATTGTTGATTTTGTTGGCCAGAATGGCTGTTTTTGTCAGTGTCTCAATCACGTGGTCACTCTGCAGGACAACGTCACCCTGGGAGGAGAGGCCATGCTTTAGGATCATGGCTTTGGTGTCACTGCACCAAAACTGCCCTGCTGTAAGGGACAGGGGACAGGGACAGCACCAGAGGGGGCAAACAAGCACTGCTGAGCCCCAGCAGTGAACACAGGGAACTAGCAGTGAAAGAGCTGGCACAAAGTCACATCCCTGTCACTTTGTCACCCCCTCCTCCCAGCTGGATGTGCTCCCTGGAGGAGGGAGGGATGAGCCCCCAGTACCTTCTGCTTGTTGTCCTCACAGTGCACGTGCAGCACAAACAAGTTGTCACTCAGGCTGCTGACGGAGATGCCTGGGGAGAGACGGGAGCATCACTGCCCTGCCTGGAGCTGGGGAGGCCTCACAGCCTCTGCAGGAATGCAGCAGCTGTTCCCCCTGGAGGCTGCAGGGCCCACACTGCAGCAGGGGCAGCAGTTTTCCCCCGTCAGATATTCCAAGGGCCAAAAGCTGCAGCAATGGCTCAGGCAGCTGCTGTGCAGGAATGGTGCAGCTCCCCCATGGCCAGACCCTGCAACTGGGAAATCACTCGGGGGAGGCAAATTGAGTCATTTTGGTGACATTTTATGGAGCTTCATTCTAGAAAAACGCAATTCCAAGATACTAAAATGCTTGCCAGGATCAGCTCATGCCTTTCTTGGCCAGCCCCAGCCCTGTGCCAGCCCCACCTGTCAGGTTGGAGTAGTCAATGCGCTGCTTGATCTTGGCCTCCTCCACCACCATGGCCGAGCTCTGGGTGAGCAGCAGCTGCCGCGCCCTCGCCTTGTAGCCCTTCCTGTCGTACTTGACCACGGGCACTGCATACTGAAACACAAGTCAGCAGGGCCAGGGCCCAGCTGGGCACTGCCAGCCCCCAGCAGGCACCAACCAGGCCTTGGGAAACCAGGAATGCAGAAAATTCTCTGTGCCAGAACTTCCTCACTGCCCCAGAGCAGCTCTGGACACACCCTGGTGCCTGCCCTGCCTGGGGACTGGGACACCCAAGGGGGTTTCCCCCTTCCCCTCCAGCTGTAACCCATTAAATTCTTAACTGCCATCATTAAACTGCCCAAATCTCCACTTTCTAATCCATCAACTCTTCCCAGACTGTCCTCTGGTATTACAAGCTTAATATAATGTAAAATTCTTGCTGTACTTTCTCCAGAAATTGAATTTGCCCTTCTGCTGAATAACTGGGAGCTTGACAAAAGCTTGACATCTCTCACCTTAAGTCCTTCATTTTCTAATGCCTGAAGGACTTTAGCATTTATTTCTTCTCTACCTGTATTAAAACCAAAGAGGTGGGGGGTCAGAAAGGAATTTCCAGCAAGAAAAGAGTTCATTAATCCCCCCCTTCCCTCCTCCTGTTGAAACTTGGCAACCCCCACTCACCCAGTCGAGTGTTGATGAAGAGCCTGGGAACACTCTGAGGATAATTGTCTTTTTTACCCTTGAATATCTCACTGGCAATTACTTTTTGTTCCAACTGCAAGGACAAAAGAAGTGTTCTTATTTAGTATAAAATTTCTCCTCATTAAAAAGATACGTCTGTGTTAGAAGAGATGTTCCCTTTGTGGTTTTATTAGCAGTCATAATTTAGTTCCTCTTTGGATGAGGAGTCACCCTAAACTTTCAGTCCCTGGAGGTGGCAGAGCTCCAGCCCCTGTCAGTGACCTGAGCCCTGGGCTCCTTTGCTCCAAGAACAAACCAGGCACTGGGAAAGTGGGAAATGCCCACTGCTCTACTGGGGGCCAAGGCTGGCACACAGGACAAGGCACCTGGGATGGTTTACAGGGAAAATGGGCATAAAAGAAGCTCCTTATCAGTGAGTCTGGGGGAAAGCAGCTGCTGAGCTGAGTTAATCCCATGTCCCTAGTCACAGGCTCAGCCTCTCATTGCAGGTGTCCATGCACTGCAGGTGGTGAGAGATGGTGCAGTGAAAAACCTTCATGGCAGTTACAGCCAACATCTCCCATTCTGTCTCTTTACTGAGCTATTTTTTCCCTCCCCCTACCTTTCCATGAGATGAATTAAATCTCAGTATCATTTTTATTCTTTTTAGCTACAATAGAGCAGCTGAAATGGTTCCTGTAACTTCTCTGTTTAGAAGATGACTGGGTTTGTGTCTGCAGGATTCTTACTCTCTACATGGTACATGCAGAATAATGCAGCTTCTTATATTTTTAGCTTCCATGAGCAGAGTAGCAGGGCTTTTCAATAGAGAAATTATCTGGGGGCTTGGCTCCACAGCCAGTTTAAATAGTATCTATTGAAATATGTATAGAATGGGGTCTCTTCTGTGCACATTCCAGGCTTTTAGTGTTGTGTGTCTAACCTAAACCCAGAGCAGTGGCACTGCTCCTGTGGCACCCCAGAAAGTAGAAACTC